GTTGCCATGTCTGGGTTGGAAAATACCTGGTGACTTTGGGGGTGGATCCAGGAGAGGGCGGGGTTTGTGGAGGGGAGGGGCCTCAGCATGGTACAATGCCATAGAGTCCACCCTTCAAAGCAGCCATTTTCTCCAGGGGAGCTGATCTCTGTCAGCTGGAGACCAGTTGTAAAAGTGGGAGATACCCAGGCCCCACCTGGAGGCTGGCAACCCTACTCAGAACCTCTCATTTGACAAGCTAAGCATTTGAGTCCCTGGAAAAAAAATGTCTGCTGATTTTTCCATTCTACTTGTGAGTCCAGAAACCACTGGGTCGTAGAGCATGAAGCAACCTCACTGCACATGAATGCTTGAGTGCGTTTAGGACAGAATAACTGATTATGTATAACCTCAAGACGGTTGGCTGCTTTTTGGATTACTGCAGCACATTCCATTCTGACCGACAGTTTCCAAGACAGCCATCTTGTTGAACACTGTGATTGGGCAACTGAACTTCACCCTTCCCTAGGACAAGAATAATCAACTAGCATCATTCTCTCAGGACTCTCCTCTAGTGTTGGAAGTTGGACTCTAGAGGCTGCCAGCTTGGATTTAACACTAGCTGCTAGGATTTCTTCTGGCTCCCCTGAGAACATTGATTTCGGTAGTTAGGCCAGTGAATTATCGGTGTCAGGCACTATGGGATTTCAACCAGGAATGTTGTGGCTTGGGGCAGAGATCTAGGCCAGTGAGTTACTGGGAACTGTGTAGGTTCTTTCTCCAAACACCTCTCTGGGCATAGAAGGGAAGAGGGTATATATTAACCCCTGGGACTGCAGACAAAATGAAGGCCCAGGATATAAAGACGAGGTGCCTGGCCTTCTGCCCTACAAGAGCAGTAATTCCTGTAGCACTTTTGGCTCAAGCTTTTGGCCTTCCTTTGGCGCAAGTTCCCAGCCACAGCAAGTGACCTCAGGGACCTAAGTTTGGGAAATGAGTCCTAAGTACCTTTCTCCTGTCCTTTTTCCATCACCATTCTGGATTTTATTCTCTGCTGTGTTCTGGTCCTCTGGAATTCCATTTTAACTGGGAGAATTCCTTAAATTCATTCCAGAATTGGATTATGAGAGGTTTCCCACACCAGTTCTCTCCTCTGTCACTGGTTACACATGCACCTTGATAAAATGCTACATACAGATTATTTTGTGGTAATCGTACATCCAATCACATCAAGGATGTTTGTGGTTTTGACAGTATTTTATCGACGTGTAGAGACAGGAGAACGGCAAGAGTGAAACAAAGGAACAAAAAGATGTTGAAAGCCACACAAGTGCAAAATGGGGAAACTTTAAAATGGGAGCAATGGAAGATTCCTGATGTATTTTATGTCACTTAGGAAACAAAACAAAGTCATTGGGGACTCCAACCCCATGGAGAAATTTGGACGAGGAGACTTTTCTAGCATCCTTAAGGCTGCTGTGCTATGGGCCTGATCAGGACCAGCATTTGAGCACCTCTGTCCCCCTCTCTAAAAGTAAGGGCCCAGCAGCAATACTTGGCAATCTTTCTCTTCCAGGAAGGTGTGAAACTCATGGCTCAACTGGCAAATGACTAACCTAACCAACATATTTATAGGGTTGCCAACTCAAGGTTGGGAAATTCCTGGAGATTTGGGGGCAGAGTTTGGAAAGGCAAAGATGCTCAGCAGGGATTTGGTGCCACAGAATCCACTTCCAAAGCTGCCATTTTCTCCAGGAGTGCCGATCTCAGTAATCTGAAGATCAGTTGTAATTCCAGGAATCTCTGGGCTCCACCTGGGGGTTGGCAACTCTAGACACTACCAATATTACAGGATTTCCTTGTGGTACTGACCTAAGGCATCACATGGGATGAAATCAGAGGTCATTTCGGGGGGGATCGCGGGGGATCGCAGTTCCCCTGGGTGAGGTACGGGGGGCGGGGCACATGATGAAGCCCCGCCCCCTGCTTCCGGCCGCCCTGCTTCCGGCCCTCATTCAGCCAGGAGGAGGCAGGAGAACAGGGAGGGTAAGTTGCTTCCTCCCTGCCTCTCCCCACCCCTGCCTGCCTGGGGCCAGGGAGGGCATTCGTGGGGCTTTCTCACACTCCCGCCGGCCTTGCAGGTCCACCGCCGGGCCCCTCATGGGGCTCGGCAGTGGAGCTGCAAGGCCAGCAGGGGCGACCAGGACCGTTGGGGGTGGGGTGTGTGGCCTTATGACACACTTCCGGTGATGTCAGGGGGTGTGGCATATGCTAATGAGTTATGCTAATGAGTCCCCCTAGCTCTTTTTCTACGAAACGACCCCTGGATGAAATTAATTACTTTCCCGTGGTACTTGAATGAGAATAGAACAAAAAATGTCTGGTTCCGTACAGAGCTGGGAAGGCATGAAGGACACCTGATTTACCCCCTTGCTTTCAGCTGTAACATGGGTTCCTCCCTGGCAAACTGAAGAAGGCCGGGGAGGGGGAACACTGTCTGGCCATGGTGTTGCATCACTTCTTGGGAAAACTCAGAAGTTACATCATGCTGCTCTAGGAATCACTGGAAACTCCATGTATCTGAAGAAGTGTGCATGGACACGAAAGCTTATACCCAGAATAAAACTTTTTGGGTCTTAAAGGTGCCACTGGACTCAAACTTTGTTCTGCTGCCCACCTGGATCTATCTGGAAACTCGATGGTAAACACATAGACTTTAACAGCAATTTCTAGAGTGCTGTGAAATCACTTCTGTGGTTCCCCCCAGAAGTGATGTATTGCCTTCATGCCAACAAATAGTTGACAGGCCACAGCTGAGCTGGCAACCCCTGGGAGAAAATGGGGTGGGGGCCTAGTGACATTAACCTTTAGTCTCTCTAGCATTTGTAAAATGCTAGCGCATCCACTGCGCCACTTCTGTTTTTGACTGGATGTGCCATCAGTGCATCACAAACTCTGTCCCCCCTCCATTCCCTCCTACTCGCACTGCTGGCTATAGCAGGAGATCTGGCATCCCTGCACCCACAACTATTGATGGGAGCTGTGGGCAGGAGATTTCCCGCCCCCAGTGGGTAATCAGTGGCAAGCCTGCTCCTCTCATTTCAGAAAGGAACTACCCCATTGATTACAGGTTTGGATAGAAAGGGCTACACCATCCGTTCATGATATTTATTCCATTTCTGTTCTGCCTTTCTGCCACTTTCTGCCCCTTAGAGCCAAACTAAATGTTAACAGCTTCCACAGGCCCAACCTGTGAATGCCGACACCGTTCTAAAACTGAAGTTGGCCATTTGAAAATGCCACAAGGGCCCCATCCTGATCAGGCCTACAGGACAGCAGGTCCAGGTGATCTTGTCCTCCCCCCTTCAAGTGCCAACCGTTTCATCACTGGAAAAGTCACCATGGGGGTGACGAGATCCCTTGGTCCCACTGTGGATGCCATAACACATTTGGCCCTCAGGCATCTTGCAATAATCATTTAAAAAATTACAAATTTAATTTACAAACATTAAACATAATTATAATATTAAAACATCCTTATATGGTGCCATCAAGTAAGATAGCAAGCATCACCATGTGACGTCCCCAGTGTGAGGAGGTCACTTCCGCACGATGGTGATGGTGGTGGTATTTTAACTCCCCCTTCACCTCCAGCAGAAACCATATCTGCTAGAAACCTGATTGTAAATTTATGCACTTTAAATTATGTAAGCTTGTGTTGTTGTGACTTGAGTGCTCGTAGGGATGTGGAGAACGTCTCTTTATTTACTGTTATGATGCAAAGGGCATTCGTTGCCTCATGTTCAGCTCAAAAGCAAGTGACGGAAATGCAAAACAAGCTGCCTTGTCAGTGAAGAACTTCAGTGTGAAGATGCTGTGAGTTGCTGTTGGTGGACATTACACCACTAAATACAAACGGAGGCGGTAGGAGGCACCTTGCACCTCTGCCTTTTGTTCCTGGGGGAGGGAGCAGGGAAATGTGCAAGCTCAGATGCCAGGTGGAGAGAGAGGGACTTTCCTGAGCTCAGCCAAAAAGCTGTGTGCTGATGGCTAAAAATGTGCACACAGATCATGGTAGCACACTTTAGAGGGAACACTGGCCACCAGCAACCTGGCATAATAGTGGAGGAATTTGAACCTGGCTCTCCCAGATCCTAGTGTGACACTCTAACCACTGGCTGGCCTAGAAGGAGACATTTTTAACTCTTGCAATTTGAAGGCAATCCTTGTAGCTAGAAATCAAAGTTCAGTTTGGTTGGTTCATTCTATAAGAGAGGAAACAGCCAACAATTTCCTTGCCAAAAACAAAAACTGTATCACCCCTCAGCTGGTCCAGGCAGCTGTGCCTTGAACGGAGCCTTGATGTGCCTGAAATCATAGATGCAAAATCCGTGCTTGAAAATCTTTACCTGCGGATTACACTCTTGCTAAAGGCACAGAGGCAGGGGCCAGATGAAAATCAACAACCTTGTGGTCAGGGATCTTAAACTATTCCTCTCTCTACATTTCTTTTGGCTTAGTGTGCTGCCATAAGCCAAGGTTCACCGTTCCGGTTCACTTCTCTCTTTCCCAATATCACAATCATCTTTGTATTTCATTTAACCCAACATACATACCTCTTCCTGACAAAAAAATTGTCCTTAAGTAAAAATTTAACCATATGAGGTTTTATATAAAGTGTTGGGACTACTTGGAGGCATTTCAATCCATGTATATTGGCTAAGAAGCTTCTATACGCAGCGGGCATCCATTAGGACTGGATGACCCTTTTCTCTTAGTTTCTCTTGAGGTACAGAGGAAAGCAGAGACAATACTGAGGAGAAGAGAAACAAGACAGCTGAAGAAGCCAAAGGCTTCAACCTACAATTATTATTTTTTGTTCAGCAGGCCTTTGGTGGGCGTTCCTTGGCCTGTCTGTATTTCTACACCATTCCAGAAGTCAGTGGATATTTTTATAGGTCCAAATTGTGTCAGGGCCTCTTTGGACTTTTCGTCTTGTTTCTTGGATACTAGCAACCACCATGAGTTTTGCCGACCTTCTGGACAATTTGGGAGGAATGGGGCATTTTCAAAGGATGTCCGTGGCCTTCCTGGCTATTCCGCTCTTGATGCTGGCCTCTCACAACCTCCTGCAGAATTTCACAGCAGGGGTCCCCGAACATCACTGCCAGATTCACATCACAGCCAATCACACCCGTTATGCCAACACTACCAAAGAGCTGGGAGCTGACAGCCTCATTAGAATTGCCATCCCTGTGAATGGGAAGGGGCAGCCCGAGAAGTGCCTGCAGTTTGCCACCACCCAGTGGTGGCTCCTTGATGCTAATGCCACCACTGTCAACGACACAACGGTGGATACTGAACCGTGTTCTGATGGGTGGACGTACGACAGGAGCATGTTCACCAGCACCATAATCAGTGAGGTGAGAGAAACAACTGGGGAACATCCTTGAGGGAGATGGGCTGCTAAGGTCCCCATAATAGACCCCATGACAGCCAATGTGATGTAGTAGTTAGAGTGTTCAACTCAGATCTGGGAGAATCAAGTTTGAATCCTCATTCTGTCGCAGAAGCTTCCTGGGTGATCAGTCATACACACTCATCCTGACCTACCTCACAGGTATGGTTGCCAGCTCTGGGTTGGTGAATACCAGGAGACTTCGGGAGTGGGGCCTGGGGAGGGTGTGGTTTGAGGAGTGGAGGAACCTTGGCAAGGTATAATGCCACAAGAGTCCACCCTCTGAAGCAGCCATTTTCTCCAGAGAAACTGATCTTGGTTGTCTGGAGACCAATTGTAATAGCAGGAGATCTCCAGGTGCTCCCTGGAGGATGGCAACCTCACTGCATTGTTGGGGAGGAAGGGAGAATTATGTGGGCCACTTTGGGTCTCCTTTGGGGAGAAAGGTAGGGTATGTGAAGTAAATAAACAAAATAATAATACATCTCAGGGTCACCCAATGGAGTTGATGGGCAATAGATTGAGGACACATTAAAGGAAGGATTTCTTTCCTTAATGAGTAATTAAATTGTAGAATCAGTGCTCTTCTACCTTTACTAGTCATATAAAAGATGAATGTTTGGCACATGCAGCTTATAACACAGGAGTAGGGAAAACTGCACTTGCCAAAATTCCCTCTTTTATGCAACTATTCTCTTATGCAACTGGTCATATTTTCAGGGATTTAACTGTAGAGGATGGATGTCGCCATCTGCTGGTAAATATTCATGTGGCGCCCATCCAGTCATTATCAACAGGTGGAATCTCTCCTTTTATATAATTCCATTTTCGAGTGGCAAAGTTCTATGCCTGCCAAAATCAGTTGGCTGCCTGAACTGCCACTCAGAAGGCACTGGCTGCGTTGGCTGCCTGGGTTGCGGAGTCCTCCCCACAGAAGCGGCGGCCACCGTCTCCGGCTCAGTGTGCTCGGAGCCGACGGAAGGGATGGATGGGACTCTCCACGGGGCTGGGGATGGCTAGGGCCTTCTTCCCTTTGGCTCATGCGCAGCATCGGGGGTGGGTGGTGGGGAGGGGGTCCTCACTTCAGTCCTCCCCCACAGCCCCCTCAATCCCTCGCACGCCCCATTCATGGAGCGAGGACCCAGCACGCAGCGGCCAGTTCCCCCCTCACACCGCTGCCGCCCCGGCTGCTCACCTCTCCTCAGCTCCGGCTGCTCAAACTGGCTCCGCCTCACACGCCAGCTCTGTTGTCCACCTCGCACTGTTTAAAATGGCTGCAAGGCAGAGCGAGGCGGGGGGGAGGATGGAAAATCCATGCAGCCAGAGTCGGGGCCGGGGGGGGGGACCGATGTGGAGGAAAGGGCCACCCACGACAGCGGTGGTCTGGCCATGGTGCTTGGGAGGGTGACTGCTGCAGGCCAGAGCACTCTCCCAGGCCCTCTTTCTAGAGCTTGTTTCATTTCTTTCTGCAACTGACCTTATTACTAATATTGAATAACACAGACCTTTGGCCCAATGTAGCAAAGTGATTCATGTGTTCATATGTAAGCACTTAGCCACCGTCCACAGGTAAAATAAGTACCATCTATCTATGAGAGAGGAAAATTCATACCTGGAGGTGACCATATGGACTGTGTGTGTGTTGTGGTGGGGGAGACTGGGAGATGGTAAACTTCCCACACCTTTGTGATCACTGAAGTACAGAGCTGCTGGGGTTCCAGCACCCTTTGAATTTTCACTCCAAATAACTCGCTTTAAACAACGCACTCCAAATAACTATTCTGCACTTCCAGTATATTTAATGCATTGATACCCTGTCATTCTTCCACCATGGATTCCTTAGGTTTCCAAGAGGGTCTGCTACTTCAGCACAAAGCCTCCAGGTGGGGCCTGGAGATCTCCCGCTTTTACAGCCCATCTCCAGCTGACAGAGATCAGCTCCCCTGGAGAAAATGGCTGCTTTGAAGGGTAGACTGTATGGCATCGTACCATGCTGAGGCCCCTCCCCTCCCCAAACCCCACCCTCTCCTGGATCCACCCACAAAGTCTCCAGGTATTTTCCAACCCAGACCTGGCAACTCTAAGCCTTGGTATGAAGTTACCTGAGTTTGCGTCCAATGACCTCACACAGTTTCTGTTCCCTTTCCCTCCCCTGCAGTGGGATTTGGTGTGCGACTCCCGGACTCTGCGGCAAATGGCTCAGTCCATCTACATGGCCGGAGTGCTGATAGGATCGGTGCTGTTTGGCAGCCTCTCAGACAGGTGAGCGGTGGAGGCCTGAAAGGGGCAACAAGAGGGGGCCTGTTGCTATGGTGATCAAACGAAGCCAGATGGATTCCATCTCAGGGCTGGTGCTCCTGTGTTTTTCCATACTGAGTGAACTGCCCACCTGGAATAAATGTTTGCAGGGTTGCCAGCCTTCAGATGGGGCCTGGAGTTCTTCTGGAATTACAACAGAGATCAGGTCCCTTGGAGAAAATGGCAGTTTCCAAGGGTAGTCTCTATGGCAGGCAGAGGTCATTTCGGGGGGGGATCGCGGGGGATCGCAGTTCCCCCGGGTGATGTGCGGGGGCGGGGCACACGATGAAGCCCCGCCCCCTGCTTCCAGCCGCCCCGCTTCCAGCCCTCATTCAGCCAGGATGAGGCAGGAGAAGAGGGAGGGTAAGTTGCTTCCTCCCCGCCTCTCCCCACCCCTGCCTGCCTGGGGCCAGGGAGGGCCTTGGTGGGGCTTCCTCGCACTCCTGCCGGCCTTGCAGGTCCACTGCTGGGACTTATGATGTCAGGGTGGGTGGCATATGCTAATGAGTTATGCTAATGAGTTCCCCTAGCTCTTTTTCTACAAAACGACCCCTGATGGCAGGGGTCCCCAACCTTTCTGAGCCTGTGGGCACCTTTGGAATTCTGATACTGAGTGGTAGGTGCAACCACAAAATGGCAGCCATGCACACAGAGGAAGGCCAAGGGCAGGGGAGAAGAGGGGTATTTTAAAAATACACTGGGAAAGAGAGGTGAGAGAGAATACAACAAATACTCTGGTTTCCCTGAAACAATGTTATTTCAATCTGCATAGCCAATCAGATCTTCAGTGGCCAATCAGAAGCCCTGCTGGGCAAGAGCTCTACCCTCTTTCTAAATACACGTAGTGGGCACCAAGAAAGGTGCTGGGTGCTATGCCGCCCACAGGCACCAAGTTGGGGGTCCCTGCTCCAGGGCATCACATCCCTGCTGAGCTCTCTCCCTTCCCCAAACTCTGCACTCCCTCCAAGCACCACCTCCAAATCTAGGGTTGCCAGCTCTGGGTGGAGAAATACCTGGAGATATGGGGGTGGAGCCTGGGGAGGGTGGGGTTTGGGGAGGGGAGGGGCCTCAGAACCAGTATGCTGTAGTGGTTAAATGTGGCAGACTCTAATCTGGAGAGCCGGGTTTGATTCCCCACTTCTCCAAATGAAGCCTGCTGGGTGACCTTGGGTCAGTCACAAGTTCTCTCAGAGCTGTGCCCTCAAGAGCAGATCTCTCAGAGCTCTCTCAACCCCACCTACCTCACAGGATGTCTGTTGTGGGGAGAGGAAGGGAAGGCTATTGTAAGCCGCTTTGAGACTCCTTCCGGTAGAGAAAAGTGGGTTATAAAAACCAACTCTTCTTCTTCGGCAAAATACAATGCCATAGAGCCCACCCTCCAAAGCAGCTGTTTTCTCCAGGGGAATTATCACCATCATCAGGAAATCCGTTGTAATTCTGAGATTCCCAGCCCCCACATGGAGGTTGGCAACCCTACCCCAATCTCCAGAAATTTCCCAAGTCAGAGTTGGCAGCCCTAGGGATGGTATGTCAGTTTGGTGTAGCGGTTAAATGCACGGACTCTGATCTGAGAGAACTGGGTTTGATTCCCCACTCCTCCACTTGCAGCTCCTGGATGACCTTGGGCAAGCCATAGTTCTGGCTCAGCTGTTCTTGAAAAAGAGCAGTTTCTGCCAGAGCTCTCTCAACCCCACCTACTGCACAGGTGTCTATTGTGGGGAGGGGAAAGGAAAGGAGTTTGTAAACCACTCTGAGACTCAAGGTGAAGGGCAGTATATAAATCCAATCTCCTCCTCCTCCTTCTTCTCACAAGACCCATGTTGGTGCGAGATGAGAGAATCACATTCTGCATGTGCACGGAGATAAACTTCATATTTACTGACATATGTCCCCACAGGACTAAGCAGCCCGGCTCACATTTGACTTCAGCCTGATAATCCCAATTCAGACCTTCCAATCGTCTGTCAAAACGGGAGACAAAGAATTCATAGCTTTCCCTATCCGTTTCCCACCTTCCCTTATTCTTATGATCCATTCTTTAGGTTGCCAACTGGCCAAGAAAAAAACACACTGTCCTTATCTAAAGGTTTAATGTGCAGAAATAGGAATGAGCTAAATAACATAACTTGCCAATTGCCCCACCTTGAGCTGATATTAAAGTGTCAGCTACAGGGGTCTGTTTAAAAATTGGAAAATTGGCAACCCTGTCCACCCTCTCCCGTATTTAGTCCTGCCCATCTGAAGAGCAGGGTTACTGGTACGTCTGCGGTCAAAAGGGCTGAAGGAAAAACAGACAGGAATGTCTATGGGGGGGGGCAACCCACACCCCAGCTCACTTGCAGGCTTGTATATTCCTGTCTCCCAGGTTTGGCCGGAAGGCCCTCATCGTCTGGTGCTACTTGCAGATGGGGGTGTCGGGCGCCTGCACAGCCTTTGTGCCAAACTTTACAGCTTACTGTGTCCTCCGCTTCCTGAGTGGAATGGCCATGTCAGGAATCTCTCTCAACTCTGTCTCACTGTGTAAGTAGCTCCATCCTCCATCACAGCCAGGAGCTGCGGTGGCTCAAGTGGTTAAGACCCTGAACTGCAGGCTGTGGAAAGTCAGTACAGTAGTTCATCAGTTCGAGACCCGAGTTGCCGCATGACGGAGTGAGCTCCCGTCTCTAGTTCCAGCTCCTGCCAATCTAGCAGTTCGAAATTGCAAGTAGATAAATAGGTACCACTTTGGTGGGAAGGTAACAGCGTTCCATGCGCCTTGGTGTTTAGTCATGCCGGCCACATGACCACGGAAACGTCTTTGGTCAGCGCTGGCTCTTCGGCTTTGAAACGGAGATGAGCACCGCAACCCTAGAGTCGGACTTGACTGGCTTTCGAGCAAGGGAACCTTTACCTTTACCATCAAGGGAACCTTTACCTTTACCATCACAGCCAGCATCCCTCCTGGGATTCAACCCAGAGACCTGAGAATGTTTGGACCAGACAAGGAGCTCAATATCTTCAATTCCTAAAAAGTCCTGTAGAACCTTTGTGGGGGGGGAGTCTAGGGAGGGAGTTTACTGTGCAGAGTCCCTGGAATGAAGCAGAAAGTTTCCAGAGGGCCCTGAGGACACCCCAGTTACCAGGGGTTGCCATAGGAAAACAAGAAGAACCAACATCTCCCACTGAATCTCTTGACTGTAGCCAAAATTTAAGTGGATTGCAAATCTTGCAGTCTGGGACAATCCCAACTGCACAAAATCTGACAAATATTAAAATGTTCTGAATATGTTCAGTTATGGGAGAGTATGGGAAAATATCCCATATTATGAAATAATGATGTTTTGCCTCATCTTGCTTTCTTTGTTGAGACAAATGTAGTTCAAAGTTAAATTCACAATTTTATAAGTACTAGCTAGCTTGCAAATATTGCATAACGTTTCCCCAGTACACATTTTAGCCTTTTCTGTTATATTTAGAAGTATCATTCACAATAAAACAAAAGATTTCAAACCCTTGTTCCTTGCCAGTAACTTACTGCATGAGCTTTATTTCAGAGTTATGCCCAATGAGTCAACATCAGTTTCCACTCACAACTCAGGCCATAGGTGAACCATGAACAAAATGAAATCTTAGGCCCTAACTACATGCCATGGATCCACCACAAGGACTTTCAGTCAGACATGTGCTGTGAATTTCCTGCTGGGAACTCAATCACTCTCTCTCCTTGTGCACCATTGTCCCAGGTTGAACTGGATCCCCATTGTACTGCCCCCTAGCAGTACAATGAAGCTAGGAGATTGCTCAGAGTAGGAAAATGAGCCCTTTGCCTTTAAGACATGGCACCATGGGAAATGTAGTTCAAAGACTCTTTAGGTCATATGATCTAATATAGCTCACACTATTGGTCTAGGTAAGCCCCTTTCCTGAAGCTTAGCAAACATGGGAAAAGTCTCTTCTGTTTTCTTTGTTTTAGAAGTTTTTCTAGGGCCAAGTGAGCTCCCAGCGGAGGACTCATACCACATGTCTGATTAAAAGTCCAGACATGAACTGAGAACCATGTTCTGTGCAGTCAGGCCATTATAAGCGAAGCAATTATAATGAGCTTCACTCTGAAAAGCAAAGGCTGAAAGTACACAGGGATGGCAAGGTGGGGTACTAGGGAGACAACTGACTGGGGGCCCTCGTCACTCTGAGCACCTCACCACACAGGCTTGATGCTGAGTGGTGGAGCCCTGTGGCTCAGTGGTAGAGCATGCAGAAAGTCCCCGGTTCAGTCCTCAGCATCTCTAGTTAAAAGGACGAGGCAGTAGATGATGAGAAAGACCTCTGCCTGAGATGCTGGAGAGCCACTGCCAGACTGTGTAGACAATACCGTGAATAAAACTTTGTTGATCTTAAAGGTGCCACTGGACTCAATTTTTGTTCAGATTCAGTATAAGGCAGCTTCATTTGGAGTTGGAAAAGTCCCATGATTTTGCTTCCAAATGCTGTCCAGGGTTGGCTTTGAGTGGTACAAGGGGTGTCCTTTTTATATATATATATATAAAACATATATATGTTTTATTCGTAATTTTCACTTCATCACAAATATATCAGTTACATTAGTTAATTACCATATTAATTACAAAAACGTATTGTTCATCTTTATATTCATACATACATTTATCTTACTGTGAGTCCCTTATGTACATTTACTTTCAATCCATTTGTAAACTCGAAACCATCTTTTTAAAAATATCTTATTTTTCCTTGTAATAATATATTAAGTTTATCCATTTCAGCCACATCCAACAATTTCTTAGCTATTTCTTCTATTGATGGAATCTTTTCTAGTTTCCAATATTTAGCTATTAACAGTTGCTTCCTTGATATATCGTTTTAGCCTTTCTACACCTCTGGTGTCAGTTGCCAATCTGAAAAAATAACACCCTTGCTTGTGTGTCTTCCTTCGTCCCAGGTATGGAGTGGATTCCGACTAAATATCGTGCTATTGTTGGCACAATCAATGGTTACTCCTACACCGCTGGGCAATTCATCCTGGCTGGAGTGGCATATGCCATCCCCAGCTGGCGCTGGCTGCAGCTCACTGTCTCGCTGCCATTCTTCGTATTCTTCCTCTACTCCTGGTAGGTGCACATGTCGGATAGAGGTCTGGGTCCCATTCCTGGAGATGGAAGAGGGTAGCTGTGAAAAGATTCTTGGCAACAGAAGTCAGGCTTCCCCTGTCTCCAGCCAAACTGGCTTTGTAGAGAAAAGGTCTTACAATTGGGTTGGTGACCCACAGAGTTGAAAGGGCAATCTGAAGTGGTACTTTGCAAATGCCATCTACGAGAACCAGGTTTCCTGAATGGTTTGAACTTGCAGTGGTTAGAGTGCCAGACTACGATCTGTGTGAGATCCAGGTTCAAAACCCTGGTCTGTCATGGGAGCTTGCTGGATGACCTTGTGCCAGTCATACACTCTCAGCCTGACCTACCTCGCAGGGTTGTAGTAAGGATAAAATAGAGGAGAGGAGAAAGATGTAAATTGCTTTGCATATCCATTGGGAATAACAACTAGGGGGGAATGAAATAAAATAGAAGAAGAAGAGGGGGGGATTGGATTTACACCCTGCCCTTCACTACCTGAAGGGGTCTCAGAGCAGTTTACAATCTCCTTTCCCTTCCCTTCCCCACAACAGACACCCTGTGAGGTAGGTGGGGCTGAGAGAGCTCTCTTGAGAACTGCCCTTGAGGAACAGCTCTGAAAGAACTTATGACTGACCCAAGGTCACACCAGCAGCTGCATGTGGAGAAGTGGGGAATCAAACCCGGTTCTCCCAGATTAGAGTCTGTGCTATTAACCACTACACCAAACTCTAACCACTCAAACCACAATTTCCCCGTTCCTTCCTCATCCCTGCTGTGGTCATCCACACCAAAAGTGAATGTGCAGAAATCCATGCATGAAGTCATGTGCATATGGTCTACTACTGAGTTTAGGGCAGTGATGCCACAGTGGAATTAGAAGGGGAATACAGCAGAATCTCTCTGATCCTCTCTAAATCCACACCTGGGGAACAGCTGATAACTCTCTACTTCCCAAATCACGTTGGAATGACAGGCACAGAATCTAAGACAGACCCAAGACTTCCCCTTCTCCTTGGGGTAATCTACTACAACTGCTTCGAGCTTCTCCTTCCCATTACACCCTGACCACTAGACTCCAAAGCTACCAAAACCATGTTCTTTCTTCATGTTTGGTCTGCAGGCTGTTTGTGGAGTCAGCACGCTGGCTGGCGATCTCAGGACAACACAAGCGCGCCGTGACGGGCCTGAAGAAAGCTGCCAGGATCAACGGAAGGAAGAAAGAAGGAGATGAACTCAGTGTAGAGGTAGAACGGGGAGAGCAAGGGATGGGATGGCTGGGAGAGGCAGCTTTGCCTAAAAGTTAGGAAGCATCTGGATTTGGTCCTGCATTTCCACCAAGGGTGTTTCTGAAATGAAAGCTGCAACAGCCTTTTGCTCCAGAAGCAGATCTTTTCTGATAATCTGAGGACCAGCTGTGCTTAGTGGTGATGAAAGGGCACTCTGAAGGTGCTCAGAGGCATTAATAGATCTCATAGCTCAGCTCTGGCATTCGTGTCTAGCTCCAAGTCCTGGTTGCTTTGTAGTGGGTTTACCACATGGCCAGTTGGGCCTTAGTTTTGGACAACAGGAATCAGTCAAACCTGTTGCTTCTCCAGTGGCTTACAAAGGCACCTTTAGACCTTTTTATCCAGTTAAACTTGGGGGGACCCAGTGAAACTAAAGGCCAAAAATTCAGGGCAAACTCAGGGATGGACTTGTGTGGTTACTCTGTTGTGACTGCAGCTGTCAATGAAATGCAGAAGCAACATGACTTCTGCATGGAAGGTTTTCCTGTATTTTGCCCTGCCCCAGTTCCCCACAGGGGCCATCTCCCCCCTGAGCTAGGGTTGCCAGCCTCCAGGTGGGGCCTGGGGATCTCCCGCTTTTACAACTGATCCCCAGCCGACAGAGATTAGCTCCCCTGGAGAAAATTGATGCTTTGAAGGGTGGACTCTATGGCATTGTATTATGTTGAGGCCTCTCTCCTCCCCAAACCACGCCTTCTCCTGGCTCCACCCCCAAAGTCTCCAGGTATTTTCCAACCCAGACTTGGCAACCCTGAGCACTTGGGGTTTTTTTAAAAAAAGATCAGCAATTGACTGCTCGTTATAATGTTATATCTATCATCTACCTATCTACCTATCATGATACCTTTAAGGGAAGAATGGCCTAGCAAATCCAATGTAATAAAATAAATAAATAAATCATCTATCATCTATCTATCTAGTTCTGCTTTCATTTAAAAAAGTAACCCTGTAGCCCCTTTGCTTATGGGAAACATAAGGGGAAAGGTATATACCTCTGTAACAACAGGCCTCTACAGGTTTACTTTCTTTAGAAAGTGAAAGCTGAGAATTGAGAGGACCTGTTAGACAAACTATTACAGTGCTATAATGATATTCAATTGCTAGTTTTTCAAAAATCTCTTCAATGGTGGGGGGGTAGAACGGCCACTCCAGGGGACTGGGGCCAGAGAATGGTGCGACTGTGGGTGGGACCAGGAAGATTCAGGCTTTCCCATTCATATGGGTGGCACCCTGGCTTTGCCAGACCACTGCAGCAAAGCAGGTTTGGGACTGAACACAGGAAAGATAGGAGAAACCTGGGAGGTGCACGGAGCACCAGATGCTGTGAGGAAGTGAGGGGAAAATGCTTCCCAGTTGTATCCAAGCCAGGGTTAAACCCATGTGTATGTGGCCAAAAGGGAATACTTCTTTGACTAATTAAATTAAACTCTAAATACCAGTGCTAGGAAGCAACATCAAGGGGAGGACTTGGCTTCTGTGCCCTGTAGGTTTGCTCTCCAGGGCAACTGGTTGACAACTGTATGCAGTAGGATGCTGGGCTAGATGGCCCACTGGTCTGATCCAGCAGGGCTGTTCTTGTGTTCTTATGACTTGTGGATATCTGACAATTCTCATAACCTCAAGGAAGGAGGCTTCTTGTTTTAAGGCTGAAAATTCCTTTTCTCTCAACTGAAACCTTCTAAACCGCCCTGAGCCCGTTCGCGGGGAGGGCGGGGTATAAATACAAAAATAAATAAAAACAAACAAACAAACAAAACTGGTGGGAATTAAATGCTGAACATGTGAGATGGGGGAAACAGACATTTTGCTATGCTGCTCAGACAGTCTGCTAGGTGATTAGCACTTTGACAGTCATTTGGCCAATTAGTTTGTAAAATGCCTGAGAATTGCAAAGACGTCTTCCCAATATGTCTGCTTATGTGACAATGTTTGAAATCCTTGTGCTTTGATTCTCTGTGTTATCTGTCTGTGGTTCCCCTGGTTTTGGACCCAGTTTTCTTCCCTTCTCTTTCAGGTTTTGAAATACCACTTGCAAAAGGAGCTCTGTTCCACTAAAACTAGCCACAGCATGGCTGACTTGATGCGGACGCCTGGCATGCGCAAAATCTCCGGCGGGGTCTCCCTTGTCTGGTAAGTGTTCCCTGTTCCTTTTTTTCTCCTTCCAAGACTATATTGCTTTCCATCAGGCTGAAACAAATTTGGGTAAAGGGGGGAAAAAATGTCCCAGCAGCTTCTTCCAACTTGATTTCCTTGAAAAACTTTGAATTTCTGGCCTCCTAAGTAGATTTTTTTTACATTTCCCATGACCCTTTCTCTATTAAGCAATCTGATGACCCAGAGGTCTTGGACAGAACCAGTCTTACAAATACTATCCTCTGTTTCCATCTTTGCACAGATGCCACAGCTGCATAGAAACCACTGCAGCCACAGCTAAGTTTGGTGTAGTGGTTAGGAGCGCGGACTCCAATCTGGGAGAACTGGGTTTGATTCCCCACTCCTGCACATGAAGCTTCTGGTGTGACCTTGGGTCAGTCCTAAGTTCTTTCAGAGTTGTTCTCTCAAGGGCAGTTCTGGAGAGAGTTCTCTCAGCCCTACCTACCTCACAGGGTGTCTGTTGTGGGGAAGGGAAGGGAAAGGGTATGTAAGCCACTCTGAGACTCCTTCAGGTAGTGAAGAGCAGGGTATAAATCCAATCTCTTCTCTTCTTCTAATACCAGGATCAGGATCAGCTAGCAGGGAAGATATAGAAACAAGGGGAACCTTGGAAACCATCACTGGCTGCATTCACATATCTCTCAAAGGGGCAGGAAATTCACTTTCACAATCACCACTTTGGGGTCAGGAAGCAATTTTCTCCAGGCCACTTTGTCCAGGGATCCTGAAAGGGTGTTTTTTTTTTTGCCATCTTCTGGGCATGGAGCAGGGGTCACTCGGGGTGTGGGGGAGGTATTTGTGAATTTCCTGCATTGTGCAGGGGGTTGGACTAGATGACCCTGGAGGTCCCTTCCAACTCTATGATTCTATATCCAAGTAGGGTACTCTTCGAAATCTACCCACTAAAAGAGCAGAAGGGAAAGCATTTGTATGTATGTTAAGTGCCGTTAAGTCACTTCCGACTTATGGCAACCCACCTGGCCAAAAGAAAAGCACTCCGATATTTGGGGACATTTTAAATTAGGTTGGATTTAGGAATTTCAGAAAGAACTTCCAGAGGAACCTAGAGACAAGTTAGGCCATGGGCTGCTGGCAAGGATGAGAGAAGGTTGTGGAGCATCCTAGAAAGTTGAGGACTGGGAAGTGGTCAGAGCATCCAGAGGCAAGAGAGCTTGTGGGCAGAAAGCGGAGATGCCAGGAAAGCCAAAGGTACAGTGACAGAGCAGCTGATGGCTGTTGGCAGTAAGAGGCTGGACAGAGGTAGAGAGGGTGAGATCTGGAATTACTACTTTGCAAAGCACTTTGCCAGATAGTTTACAGAGTGGGAATAATCTAACCAACAGGGTGGCTGAAGGAAGGAGCAGGATAGGTAGGATTCTGCAAAGCAGAAGAGGTCTGGAAGGAGAGCTGGATGGGTGAGGAAGGCTGAGAGGAAGACTTCACCTGGGCTCAGAGCTCACGGCAGGGCCCCACTGCCCCTGACTCCCACCTGCCCACCTCTTCTGCCACCTGCCTGTGCACACTTCCCTCACTGCTGACAAAAGGGCACGCAGGGAGCTGTGGTTGTGGGTGGTGGGAGGGGTCACGAGTGGACAGGGGAAGGCTGCACAGGCAGGGGGAGGATGGGTTTGAGCAGGATGGGAGCATGAGCAGGGGTTCTGGTGGTGGGCCGGGGGTGGGGGCTGAGAACTCTCTGCTGAGGGCCCTTCAAAACCTGGAACCATCCCTGCCCAGGGACGGGAGACAGAGGAGTTTTGTGCCCCTGGGATGTGGACAGGCCAGCAAATGTCTGGAGGACTGGGGCTGCTGGCCAGATATGGGGTTGCCAGCAAGACCACGGAGACATGAGTTTGGCTCTAAGGCTCAGAAAGGTGTTTTTTTTCTTCTAAAATGTAAAGCTTTCCAATCTGTCCTTGCCCGCCCCAGGTTTGCCACCAGCTTTGCCTATTATGGGCTAGCCATGGACCTGCAGAACTTTGGCTTCAACATCTACATAACCCAGCTGATCTTTGGTGCTGTCGACATCCCAGCTAAGTTCATCTCAGTGATGACCATCACCTTTGTAGGACGCCGGTTTTCACAAGCGTTGTCTCTCATCTTGGCTGGACTGTGTATCTTGGCCAATATCTTTGTGCCTCAAGGTGAGGGTCCTATTCCAGTGGGAACATTCGCGTCAAATCAAAAAGGGACATAAGCCTGTCACACAGCTCAAATTTCAGTTGTACAAAAGTGCTAGATGTTTTGGACTAGGAGAAATTCAAATGTGAACACTTGAAATTTCAACATGGGAATAGCAATTTCAGGGGTAAGTTTTGTAACAAAGAGCTAGAGCCAACTGAATCCCATCCCCAATTTTGTTTTAACACTCATGTTAAGGTTTAAAATTTACCAAAAAATATACCTTCCCCACTTTGGGCATTAGCACAGACAATTGTGCTCCTAACTGGTGACTCTTACATATTCCCTAGATCTGAGTAACCTGCGTATGACATTTGCTGTGATCGGTAAAGGCTCACTGGCGGCCTCATTCAATTGTGCCTACATCTTTTCCGGAGAGCTTTTTCCAACTGTGATCAGGTAGGTCAGGCAGAAATAGTGGATGCTGGGTCATGCTCCATCCACTGAATCCCAGAGATCAAGTATCTGGCTGTGAACCACAGACAGCTATGATGGCTTACCAGAATCTCATTCAAGTGTTCATTCATTGCATTCATTCATTCATTCATTCATTCATAATGTTAGGGCTCTTTAACTTGGAGAAACAACGATTGAGGTTTACAAAATTATGCATGGGATAGAGAAGGCAGAGAAAGAAGTACTTTTCTCCCTTTCTCACAGTACAAGAATTTGTGGGCACTCAATGAAATTAATAAGCAGTAGGCTTACAACAGATAAAAGGAAGTGCTTCTTCACCCAAAGAGTAATTAAGATGTGTTCACTGCTGCAGGAAGTGGTGGTGGCTACAAGCATAGACAGCTTCAAGGGGGAGTTGGATAAACATATGGAGCAGAGGTCCATCAGCCACAAGGTATAGATGGAACACGGTATCTGGGGCAGTGATGTTCTGTCTTCTTGGTGCTTGGGGGGCAACAGTGGGAGGGCTTCTGGAGTTCTAGCCCCACTGGTGGACCTCCTGGTGGCACCTAGGTTTTGGCCACTGTGTGACACAGAGTGTTGGACTGGATGGGCCACTGGCCTGATCCAACATGGCTTCTCATGTTCTTAAAGGTATGGAAATATACCTCTCCTAAAAGGGAGAGGAAAGCTATGAAGAACCCTTGCAGGATACTGGACCTGGAAACTAATCCAGTAACCTATGGCAAGAGAGACAGCAACCTCACTCTAACACTTGGAATTCAAACAACAGTTTCAGATTCTCTGCCCCCTGCAAAAAGAGGACCGTACAAGAGTGAGGTGTGGCAGCTCGACTGAAACACCTGAGGGGCATGCAAGGGAGTGGAGATCATGTTGTTTCCTTTTCTACCTTAGGCAGTCAGGGATGGGCCTTGGAGGAACAATGGCCCGCGTGGGCAGCATGATAGCCCCTCTGGTGAAGATGACTGGGGAATTTTTCCCACCCCTGCCACTGATCATCTATGGAGGAGCACCCATCATTTCAGGCATTGCCACTTGTTTCCTTCCTGAGACCAGGAACGTCCCCTTGCCAGAGACCGTTGAGCAGGTGGAGTTGAGGTGAGTCCAAGAATTTCCTAAAGTGCTGGAGGTTCTTAGCAGTTGGAAGCCCTACACTCTAGCAGGGCTGACGGAGAGAAAGCAATACTCTTTATGTTGTCAGAGGCACTCTTGTAGGGCTTAATTTCTAAAACAGAGCACATTAGTGGCTCCATGTTGTGTCTACTTCTGTCTACTCTGACTGGCAGCTACAGTTCAAAATCGCAGTCAAAAGAGTTCTTTCCTAATAGTTGCCACCTGGGACCTTTAACTGGAGGTACCAATGACTGAATTTGGGATCTCTGACATGCACAACAGGTGCTCTACTACTGGGTTGTGGCCCTCTCCAAGAAGCCACACTTTCTGCTCTGGAGGCCACACAGTTTTTATTTAGTGGGACTAAGCCATAGATCAGTGGACCTGCAAAGAGGGAGCATACCACTTTCATGCAATGCATCGCACACTACACAAATACACTAAGGGGAGGAAGGAAACATCCACACAAGTTCATGCTAAGGAAATACAACTACACACAATATGCAATTAATTTATAGAACTCATTGCCACAAGATATGGTGATGGCTGCTAGTTTAGATCATTTTTAAAGGGGGAAGTCAGATTTGTAGAGAAGGATGAATCTAGCAGCAGCTTCTACCAGTCACCACCTACCTCCATGTATATAGGCAGCCTACCTCTGAATATCAGACACTGGGGAAAAGCCATTGCTATCGTCTTCATTCCCTGCTTGTGAGCTTCTGGGAAAGGGGGGGGGGGAGTAGAGTGTGTTCTCCAGGCAATGATTCACCTACGTTTTCTGATTGCCAAGGGAGCAATGTATCTACCTATCTGTCTGGTGAGTTCCACCCCGAAAAAGCCTTCCGATGGGGGAGAGTGGCTGCTGTGGGGAACTGGGTTGAGGGAAGGGATGTCACCAATCGGGGTGGGACTGGAAAGCTCCAGACTTTCCTATCCACATGGTATCCACCCTGGCTTTGCCGCAATATTGCCAAAAACATGCTAGGAGAGTTCAAAAGTGACTTGATGGCACTTAACACACACACACACACACACAAAGCAGATTTAAGAAAGATCTCAGCAAAACCTGGGGAAAGCTGGAAGGTGCACAGGGGCCATTTCCTGCAGGAATGCACAGGAGCGGAGCTCCAGCAGTAAAGAGCCCAGTGGACGGGCACATACAACAAGCCCCACCCCCTGCTCCCAGCAGCCCTCAGTCAGAGCAAGAAGCAGCCAGGTAAGCTGCAGAGCCCCCCGCTCAGCCCCCCAGTCCAAAACAGTCCAGTGGCACCTTTAAGACCAAGTTTTATTCAGGTACAAGCTCTCCCTCCTCTGTGAGGACAGATCTGCATGCCCCCCCCCCAATAGCTAGCAATCCAAAACAGTCCAGTGGAGCCTGAGCGGTGGGTGTTGCCTTCTGACACACTTCCGGTGATGTCAGGGTGTGTGGCATATGCAAATATGTTATGCTAATGAGCTCCTGCACCTCTTTTTCTACGAAATGACCCCTGAAGGTGCATATAACTACTATACTGGGGGGGGGGGCTGCTTCACATCAGCACCCATGCTGGAGCAAAACACCTGTCTGGAAGCAAGCTGGTTCTTATTTTCAACAGAATACTGGAGTAGATAAACCCTTAGTTTGCTCTAGGAAGTCTCACTCATATGCCTGTGTCTTTACATACCTTTACACCTGCTGATACGCAGTTATGCATTTGTATTTGCCCCCATTACTTACTCACTCTTTTTATTTCTTGTTTATGCCTTTAAGGTCAAGGCCCAACCAAGACGACGAACTGCAAATGAAGGTGCTTCTCCCTTCCACCAAGCCTGACCCAGCCAAAAACAGCAGCTAAGGAAAAGGAACACAGGAATTCCCTGACAGCCCCTCACCCAGTCCTGGCCTGCTGATGTGCATGAGAGTTCTTCCGGGCTTCAGCCCCTTCCCCCCGATTCTGTCAAATGTCTGACTGTGATGGGTGTGTCTAAACATGCCTGCCTCTAAGGCGCCTCTGCAAAATGTCATGTATGCACGTGGACATAAAAGCTTTCCCCTCCACCCCACCCTATCAAAATGAAATGTGTGAGCTGCTGCCACACTGCAACAGGCACAGCCAGGCCCACAGTGACTTTTTGAAATGGTGGGAAGCATTCTTAATGTGTTTTAAGACAAAGGAAACACAGCCCTGCTTCTGAAACCGGAGAACAGGCTGCTACAAGATAAATGACCAATATGGAGAACAGAAGACCTTGCAGAGAAGCATGATTTTGGGAAGAAGCTGCTGATTGTCAGGATGTTATAAGAACATGAGAATGTCTATTCTGAGTCTGTGAAATATTTTAAAAGACAGTGTTGGTGTGGTGGTTAGAGCGTTGGACTAGGATCCAGGACACCCGAGTTCAAATCCGTTCACAGCCATGAAGGCTCACCGGGTGACCATGGGTTAGTCACTCTCTCTTGGCCTAGCCTACCTCACAGGGTTGTTGTGAGGATGAAAAGGAAGAAAGGAGAATAATGTTGTAAGTCACTTTGGGTCCCCGTTGGGGAGAAAAGCAGTGTATAAATCAACGAGTGCCAAAGAGCTAAATCAGGCATTCCCAACCTTTTCGAGCCAGCGGGCACCTTTGGAAATCTGACACAGGTGGTGGGCACAACCACAAAATGGCTGTTACAGGAGGTGGAGCCAACCACCAAACATCTGGGCGTGAGGTTATGCATAACTCTAACCGTCGCTCTTCAGCATTTCAGGCAGAAGTTCTGTTTAACACAGGAGGAACATAATGTAAATATTTTCTTGCATACACACGTATTCATATAGAGTTAGCTAAGAAATGCTCATCTGTCAGTATCTGGCAGATCTTCAGTGTCCAATCAGAAGCTCTATTGGTCCCACTCACTTTCTTAAAACGTTTTGTGGGCACCAGGAAAAGTGTCTATGGGTGCCATACAGGCAACACACTGGGGAGCCCTAACGGCAGCAAGAATTTTGATTGCTAAATATTGGAAAGCTAATAATATGCCTACAATGCAAGAGTTACAGTATAAACTGTTGGAAGTGGCAGAAATGGATAACTTAACTATGATATTACATGGGAAAGATAAGAATGTATTTAAGAATAGATGGAATAGAGTTTATAATTGGTTAAATCGTTAAGAGGAAAAGAAAACTCCAATACTATGTATGTAAAAGATATATGGTTGTAATTACTTGGAAAAAATTAAATAAATTTATATATATTAAAAAAACACACACACTGGGGAGCCCTGAGTTGAAGATTCACCCTCTGAATTCTGAACGTTCTGTTCAGTCCTGCTGGCTTCTCTGTGGTGTCATCAGGCAACTGCCCAAACACTGCTAAGCCTGTGTTGCAGCACAATGGGTAGATGACACTTGGCCTGGGTAGGCAAAATAATAGCAACAACGAGAAGGTTGGTGTGGTTGTGAAAGCACAGAATGCAAAAGGCCCCTGCTTTTATTGCCCCCCCCCCAATCCTGGTGGAATTTGAACTGTTAACTTATTGAAGCAAGGACTCCCCCCCCTTATGTTGCAATATAAACCTGCATGCACATTAATGGTGCTGTATAAGCAGAGGTCATTTGGGGGGGGGATCGCGGGGGATCGCAGTTCCCCCGGGTGAGGTACGGGGGGGGCACATGACGAAGCCCCGCCCCCTGCTTCTGGCCGCCCCGCTTCCGGCCCTCATTCAGCCAGGAGGAGGCAGGAGAAGAGGGAGGGTAAGTTGCTTCCTCCCCGCCTCTCCCCACCCCTGCCTGCCTGGGGCCAGGGAGGGCCTTCGCGGGGCTTCCTTGCACTCCCACCGGCCTTGCAGGTCCACCGCCGGGCCCCTGATGTCAGGGGGTGTGGCATATGCTAATGAGTTATGCTAATGAGTTCCCCTAGCTCTTTTTCTACGAAACGACCCCTGTGTATAAGTAATAATAATACCCATAGCTCTGATCCTCTGGTAGGAATTCCTGCCAGAGCTAGTTATTCATATGGAATTTCCACATGAGTTATTTGCCCACAAGTTCAATGCTGCTGGAAGTCTGATGCTGCTGCTTCCCCCACAGCATCGCGGTGCCTCTGTGTCTGATATTTCTCAAACCTGCTTTGGTCTGCAGTTTGGGGAAAGATCGCAGCATAACCTGGGTGGCTGCAGCGTGCTTGGAAAAGTTTGGATTTTCTTGGTCCTGTCCACACAGCAGCTGTTTCCCCCATGGTAGCTATTTCCTCTCCCTACTCCTGAGGTTGTTTTTTTTTTTAATCAGCAATATAATGTTATACCAAAATATGCAGCTTTTGTTTTTTGTTTAAAAGTAGGCTCTAGCCCCTTTCCTTGTGGTGATGTATGGGGGGGGGGGGAGGCAACAACAAGTTAGAGATTTACATTTTTAAACATTAAAGCTGCAAATTCAGAGAACCTTATGCATATTTAGCACAATGGTATATCAATACAAGGCTATTAAATAGCCAATTGAAAAGCCAACACTATGTGGGAGACCTGCTGTGTAGAAGCGCTGGTGTTGATGTGCTGTATTAGTAGCAGCAGCAGCAGCAACAGGTACACTACACAAGCCTGTTCTCATGTGGAAAATACCATCATTTCAAAGTGGAGGGTATCATCAATGCCACTTGAAATAATGTGTGTATTGAGGTATGGGTGGGTGAAGAGATGCACACACACACACCCCGCCCCCGGCTGATGCATCACTGACTTGTAGAAACAGGCTGGGGGATATGTGAATTACTTGATTCCCCTTTTCAGGAACACAAAATCTATTACGTTTTAAATTATTCCCTGCTTATAGAGCAAATATTTGCATGTTACCTTGTTCAACCTCGTGATGGGTCTGTGCCTGATGGAGCCTCCAGTTTAGGGATGGGGCTTTTGCTCCAGGTCCATAGCCGCTTTCAGACACCAATGTTTAGGCAGCTTTCTACCACTAAGACTTAAGTCCCTGTTCAATTACAGATCTTCCTTAGTAGCCTGGTACAAGTGACTCTTTCTGCCTAACCTACCTCACAGGGTTGTTGTGAGGATTAAGAAATAAAGATAGATTTATGAAGCATTTTGCACGTTTTGAAAGCCAGCATTATATAGTGGTTAAAGTGTTGACTAGGATCGGGGCGACCCAGGTTCGAATCCCCACTCTGCTATGGAAGCTTGCCAGGTGATCCTGAACCAGTCACACCCTTAACCTAGCCTACCTCACAGGCTCATTATGATGATAAAGGGGAGGGGGAGGAGAGAATGTTTTAAGACACTTTGGGTCCCCACTGGGGAGAAAGGTGGGAAATAAATGAAGTTAATTTAATTAATACACTAAAGTCAAGAATGATCATTTTTGTGTCCTAGGCCTCTTTCTCACAACTGTCTTATCCATCCATCCATTGGCTTTTAAAAAGAGAAACACCATGATCCAAAAGACTGGCTGTCTCCCATAGTAACATGGCAACCCAACCCAAACCCCCCTCCCCCCCATCCCACGACTGGACTCTGGTAGGCTAGATCAGATTAATGCCTGTTTTCTTTTCAAACCTCTGGGGGGTCACTACCACAAGCTCACATTATCCAGCTGACTGTGTTAGCCCAGAAATTTGCAAGTGTCCCCCCCCCCCAGCCCCACCCAGGGAACCATGCACTGAATGAAAACATAACATCCAATGCTACTACAGGGCAAGGTAAAGTGGAAGGCCTCTTCACATACTCCAGGTAAGAGAAGAGTGGTTAGAGTGTGTGTGGGGGGGAGGCCTAACATACCCATCTTCAAATCCCCACACACATCCGTGATGCTTGCTGGGTGTCCGTCACACTCAGCCACACCCACCTGACAGGCTGGTGTCAGTACAAAATGGAGGAAGGGAGAACCATGGATGCCACTCTGAATTCCTTGGAAGGGGTGGTGGTAAAAATGTAGTAGCTCTTCGGCTTTGAAACGGAGATGAGCACCGCAACCCTAGAGTCGGATTCGACTGGCTTTCGAGCAAGGGAACCTTTACCTTTAAGTAGGTAAGTTTGCCGTGTATGCCTAAGACATTATAGTGAATAATCAAATAGCAACCACACTGTATATAATTGCAATGAAGAACAAAAATAAATGTTTACTTATTATTACAATCATAAACAAATTGCTTATTAAGAAATGAAAAAAACTTTTTAAAGGTTGATACAGGCAGGAACCACTGAAGACCATAACAGAAAAGCCAAAATGCAATAACAGGATGCTGGATGTACTAAGACAGTCTCTGTAAACACCATATGTCCACTTCACAAATGATCCAGTATCCTAGAAAAGGCCGTTCCCCAGTGTGCGTTGTCTCTCTCATGGGCATGCCACCTATAGGCTCCCGTTTCACCGAAGCCTTATCAAAGAAGAGATGGCTGCGTCAATAATTCTCAGTGGCAAACATTCTTAAAGGCAAAAAAATCGGTGACATGGGGGATTATAGCTGGCTTTTCTTAAGTCCAGGAGACCCTCAGAGACCAAAACGTTTTTCAGGGTATAAGCTTTCGAGAGTTAAAGCTCCCTTCATCATAGTAGGCCTTACTTTCTTTGGCAAACAAAAATGAAAAGCTCGTTTTTCATCTGGTTCTCCTTGTCAGTGCTGACTCGGCTAGTTCCCCTCACTATCACCATATCACCTCAATTCTTTAGAAATGAATTCTACCACCCCCTTTTCACTTTCATTCCTCTGCAGTGAGGAGTGCGTCCAATTAAACCGGATAAACCCTCTAAGACGCCGCAGGAGATTAATCCAAAGCAAAAACAAAATCAGCACCAGGCCAGGGCCTGATTCTGTTGTGCCCTGTTAGACCTTCTGCTGCGGGTCCTAGAGAGTAGAAAACACCTGACAGACTTCTTTACAGGAATTCCACCCAAAGGAGACCAAACTTGTCTGTGGCTTTGGATCCTTCTCAAAAACAAAGGGCACAGCTGGATGCTAGCCTGGTCTGTTTGCTCACCAGCAGGAGAAATCTAAGACATCTCTTCTTAACTATTTCGTTTGTGGATCATTTGAATCAAAAAAGCCCCGCAGCGGAGGAGCAGAGGCTGAAAACACTTGGATTTTTTTGACAGCTTCCACTGGGTTAGTCAGCGCTTTCCACCTGGTTTCCTAGAAGAAGAAGAAGTAGAAGAAGAGTTGGTTTTTACACCCCCTGCTTTTCTCTACTTCAAGGAGTCTCAAGGTGGCTTACAATCGCCTTCGCTTCCTCTCCCTATAACAGGCACCTTGTGAGGTAGGTGAGGCTGAAAGAGCTCTAAGAGAACTGTGACTGGCCCAAGGTCACCCAACAGGATTCATGCGGCGGAGTGGGGAATCAAACCTTAGAGTCCGCAAGCAAGACGATTTACAACTGGCACCTCTGAATCACCAAGCGTGCACTGAGCCCATTCTTGAATATTCCTTCTGACAACAACTTTGTTGTTAGCACTGCGTCTACAGATCGGCAGGCAAGCACGCATCTCATTCAGCCAGGCTCGTGTCCACTTTGGGCCCAGCCATGACTTTTGCCAAACTTTTGGACCAGGTTGGTGGCATGGGTCGTTTCCAAGTCATCAACGTGATCTTGCTGATCTTCCCAATATTACTCCTGGCATGCCACAACCTCCTACAGAACTTTACAGCCGCCGTTCCTGATCACCGCTGCAGGGACCCCGTTAATGACACGTGCAGCGCAAATGCAACAGAAAGCTTGGAATGCAAGGACTATCTGAGGGTCTCCATCCCCATGGACAGCAACTGGACCCTGCAGAAATGCCATCGGTTTATCACTACCCCGTCGCCGTCCCTGAACTCCAGCGCTACGGGGCCACAGGACAGGGAGAAAGGGGGAGAAGCTTGTCTGGACGGATGGATCTATGATACAACTGTTTTTACATCCACCATTGTAACCGAGGTACGAGAGTCTCAAGGGTGATCATTGACAGGCCACACATGGGGAAGGGGGGGAGAATTGATCAGGACAAAATGGGTCTGCTGTCCTGTAAAATGGTGCTGGAAGGCCATTTCGTTTGCCTGGGCTTGTCATGGGGAGAGGGTTGCAGGGATTTTTTAGGGGTGGTTGCTTGGAATTTTATTGTAATTTGTATGTTTTTTAAAAAAAAATTATTAACAATTTTTCAAAATTACAGAGTATCAACTTTAAACGAACTGAATACAGCAAATTGTAATGTTTTGTTATTAATTATATAATTTTTTAATATTGTGGATTATCCGGAATATGTTTTAAAATTAAATATGAAATCTGCCTTAAGACATGGGCAAAGGTGGGGCTTAAATTATGTTTTAACAATAAATAAATTGTTGGGTTCTACTTGATGATTTTCCTGCTCCAAAATAATAAGCAAATGCAAAATCTGGTGAAACGTTCTGCATTCAGACTTCTCATCTTTCAACCATTTTAATTATTTTTTTTTAATTCTGAAATGTGGCTAAAGAACTTTAAAAGAAAGTACTGGTTTGCCAAATTACTTTTCTTCCTCCAAAAGCTTTTGAATTTTACAGAATTGTTTCTCAGCCTTGGAATTCTGGGTACATCGAACACTTGTACATATTTAGAGCAAGAAAGGTTGACCCAAAGATTTGTGTTCAGATTCCGATGGGACCCAATTCCACCTCCCAACTAGGATTCTGACATTTCAAATAGATGTAGGAGGTTTAAATAGATGTAGGGAAGGATCAGATTAGTAGTTTGGAATGGGCCATATCTCATCCCAACATGTAGCTGTTCCTGTAATCACACTTTAGAGTTGCCAACCTCCAGGTGGAACCTGGAGATCGCCCAGAACTACAACCGATCTCTACACTACACAGATCACCTCCCATGGAGTGAATGGATGCTTTGGAAGGTAGATTCTACGGCATGGTACCATGCTGAGGTCCCTCCCCAAACTCCACCTTTCCCAGGCTCCACCCCCAAATCCCCAGGAATTTCTCAACCTAGAGCTGGCAACCCTATGATGAAATTTGAAACAAAGAAACAAAAATCCCGTAACTTTCCTGACTTATGTTTTCAAAAACGCAGATTCTGCTTTCCCTCACAGTAGAGAAAAGGTGGTTGAGGAAGCAAATCTAAGCAAATCTAAGTAAGCAATTGAGAGCCAGTTTGGTGTAGTGGTTAAGTGTGCGGACTCTAATCTGGGAGAACCGGGTTTGATTCCCCACTCCTCCACTTGCACCTGCTGATGTGACCTTGGGTCAATCACAAGCTCTGGCACAGCTGTCCTTGAAAAAGAGCAGTTTGTGTCAGAGTTCTCTCAGCCCCACCCACCTCACAGGGTGTCTGTTGTGGGGAGGGGAAGGGAAAGGAGACTGTAAGCCGCTCTGAGACTCCAAGTGAAGGGCGCAGTATAAATACAATCTCTTCTTCTTCTTCTTCTTCTTCTTCTTCTTCTTCTTCTTCTTCTTCTTCTTCTTCTTCTTCTTCTTCTTCTTCTTCTTCTTCTTCTTCTTCTTCTTCTTCTTCCCCTTTTATTCAGTAGGGTTTACTCCCAAGAAGTTTTTAGGATTACATCTGTAATGTACTAGATATTGTATCAGAGTGGGTTCAAATCCTTACTCAGCCTTCAAATTTGAGAGATACTTTTTTGTCAGTCACCATCTCTGAGTGTGACCTCAAATTCCATGGGCACCCACCCAACCCACCTTGAACTCTTGGGATAATGATGACGACGATAATATTCACTACTACTACTATTATTTCTACTGCTATTACTATCAAGTATGGATATGGATTATCGCTCATTTTATAGACTGATATATGGTATGGTTTCTTAATGTGGCAAGGTAATATTCAGTGTTTTAAGTAAAAGCAAGTAAGAGACTTTTTAAGACATGTATTCTACTGGACACTTTGTGAGCCAGATTCAACTTTGTCAGATGTGTGAAATAGCAACCTCAGACATAGGCTGGGGTCACATGAGCAGTTTGCGCTGATATAGTTGCATTACCTTTGCAGATTTAAAGAGCACAATCAGACAACATCTGCCTTCCATGCCCCAGTCATTGTCACCTGGGTCCGGCCTGTCCTGGAAGCAGAGTTTGCCAACACTGGGGAAAGTCTGGTCTTTATGTAGGCCAGTGCTTCCATTCTGCTTTTCCCGACGTCTGAAACCCCCTGTCATGAACAGATGCCAGATTGGAAGTGTGAACGGTCACTTCTGTCTCAGTTGTGCGGGTTTTTCGCCCAGTAGGGATGTGTGCATAAGGGCATATTGCAGGGCTCTTTTTGTAGAAAAAGCCCAGCAGGAACTCATTAGCCTAATAGGCCACACCCAACAGCAAAACTCATTAGCATATTAGGCCACACCCCGACAGCACCGCTCATTAGCACAGTAGGCCACACCCCCATGTTACCAGAAGTGTGGTCATCCAGCCACACCCACCTTTCCCTTCTTATTTTGTTTACCTTGTTTGTTGTCAAAACCCAGGGGTTTTTTTGGAGCAGGAACTCCTTTGCATGTTAGGCCACACACCCCTAATGTAGCCAATCCTAATGAGTTTCTGCTATTGGGTGTGGCCTATTATGCTAATGAGTTCCTGCTGGGCGTGGCCAACTCAGGAGCCAGCCGGAACTCCGTTCCTGTGCGTTCCTGCCCAAAAATAGCCCTGGGCATATGATCAGTGGGCCATGCTCCATGGTTGAGGCACCAGTAATGTGGATGCTTCAGCATGGGACTGGTGCACAGAGGAGCCACTTCCCATGACAACTTAAACTGCCACAAGTAGAGGTGCTGCCAGATTGCACCACGCCTCCAGTGTGACCGCAGCCATAGAGAGATAGAGACAGATAGAGATACACACTCCGAGTACGGAGAGAAAAACGGGGATGGCATTATGGGTTTTTTTTGTTAGATGAAATCAAAAGTCAAGCAACACAAGATCGAGGATTGTGTTATAAGGCACAGCATAGAAAAGTTTGAATCTGCACATTCAAAAATAAATTTTGAAATCATTAACTGAAACGATCCCCAACTCAACATTTCCACGTCAAATGTAGAAGTTACAGCCCCACAGGGTATGTGTGGACTGTTATTTTAATCCCTCCCCTTCTCCTGCAGTGGGACTTAGTGTGCGACTCCCGAACCCTGAAGCAGATGGCTCAGTCAATCTATATGGCCGGTGTGCTCGTGGGCGCAATCGTGTTTGGTGGCCTCTCCGACAAGTAAGAGACTTCTTTTTATTTCAAGCGCCGCAGCTGAATTGGTTTATTGACAGAAATCAGCAAAGCTGAAGATCCTTAGATTTAGAGGAAGGGATATACATCAATCAGCTAATCAATTGATTATCCTGTGAGATTAGGAGTACATGATTAAGAACATCCACAGCAGATCAACGTCACGGCCGGAAGGGCCACACAGCAAGGTAGGGTTGCCAGCTCTAGGTTGGGAAATACCTGGAGAATCGGGGTGGCGAGGTGGGGTTTGGCGAGGGGAGGGGCTTCAGTGAGGTATAATGCCATAGAGTCCACCTTCCAAAGACGCCATTTTCTCCAGGGGAACTGATCTCAGTTGCCTGGAGATCACTGGTAATACCAAGAGACCTCCAACCACCACCTGGAGGTTGACAACCCTACAGCTAGGAGGTTGCTGCCCTTGAATCACCAGCTTCCACCTGCTTCTAGATCATATTTTCAGCCTTGCTCTGCAACCTCCACATCTGCTGGGCTTATCACTGGGGAGCCACACTACCAATGCTCCCTCTAAGCTATGGAAGCCTGTGAGCAAAAATTCTACTTTGTGAGCATTAAAGTTGTGAGCGAGCGATCTGGCTACTGCATAAATTAGTTTGCTCTGGAGCCATCCTTCCTGAGCGAAGACAAAAATGTGTGAGCTGGAGGCTAAAAAACGGTGAGGTAGCTCACACTAACTCAGCTTAGAGGGAACACTGGCCGCCGCTGCCACCACCACCCCAAACAAAAAATTACTTCTCTTTGCCTCAGGTTTGGCCGGAAAGCCTTACTGATCTGGTCTTGCCTTCAAATGGCCGTTTCAGGATCCTGCGCCGCCTTCGCCCCCAGCTTCACGGCATACTGCATCTTTCGTTTCCTGTCAGGAATGGCTGTCTCAGGCGTTGGACTGAACTGTGTGTCACTTTGTAAGTTCCTTTTGGGCACCTGGGTTTGGTGGGTGAAAAGAGTTTACGTGTAAAGTTTGGCGTCCACATCAGCAGGTCAAGGGTATAAATCCATTTTATTTGAACTGTGACAGATACAGACTCAGCCAGGCATCCATCTTGGAATCAGGGCCGAAGTAACCTGCCCCCTCTTTCCTCAGGAGCACGCCTAGTCTGCCTGCCCAATAAAAAGTATCTGCCTCTTGGTCACTATATTACTGAACACAATGCAAACCCATGTGTAAAATAATGGAAGCCCTCTGAGCATGTGCAAAGGGCATTCTCCTCTCAGCACCTCCACATACAGATACACTTGAGATAAAGGTACATAGTTAATGCTTGAGCAGAATTGCCCCTTAACAGTTGGCCTGCTTCACACCACCTGTTTTCTAACATTTATTTTAAGACCAGGGTCAGGAGAAGAACCTGAAGTAATGTGTAATCGTAGGATAGCTGGGTCTCTAAACCTTCACCTCCTGAAACATGCTCTTGATACAACTGATATTTTGGTTCCTCATTGTGTGTCTTTGAAATTAAAGATGAGGGCTTTATTTAAGAGTGTTACTTGGAGGATGGGCAGAGTACGGTTAAACCTCCAGTCAGTTATTAAATGGCATTGAGTTATTGCGCAGCTAAGACCCTAACTATATATTGCATTTTTTTTTCAAAGGAAATTCCTGGATTAGGTCAAGTGGTGTTTTGGAGTTCTGCACTTCCTATGTTTCAGATTGGGGCTGCAGGACTTGAAGAGTTGGGGGCTTAGACCTCATCCTCTCCGTGCCATTTCCCTACCCTGAAATGACCTCTGGGGGTATAATTTGCCCTTACCCCTTTGGGGTCTGTATGTGTACTGTGTACTGATGAGCTACATGCTACATTTTTGCCTGAGGCTATTTCAGGTGGGAAAAATAGCATGGGGGTGGGAGTCTAACTGGCAGTGGCTGTCCAGTGTCTCAAGCACTGGTCTTTCCCATCCTTTACTTCTGGATCATTTTAACTGGAGATGCCAGGGATTGAATCATAGAACAATGGAAGGCACCTCCAGGGTAATCTAGTCCAACCCCTGCACAAGGCAGGAAATTCATATCCCCTTCACACCTCCATGCCCAGAAGATGGCAAAAAAAAAAGAAAGAAAACCCTCCAGGATCCCTGCCCAAACTGGCCTGGAGAAAATTGCTCCCTGACCCGAAAGTGGTGATCGGCATTTCCCTGAGCGTGAACCTGGGACCTTGTGCATCCCAAGCAGACGCTCTACCACTAAGCTACGGCACCTCCCCTCAACAGCTTCTTTCTTCTGCAAGATAGATAGGGGACCCAAGAAGGCTGGACTGTGATCATGATCCCCATCAAGTAGAAGCAGGGAGGTGCTGCCCTGACTGTATTCATCAGAACTTTTACATCTGTCAAAATGACGTTGGAAGGCCATCAGAAAAATTGCCTCGAATGCTACTGGCCTGGTACAGTGGTTCTAGCAGGGAAAGGCAAAATTTTGGCCCAAAGACTGAAAATAATGCAACGTCCACCTGTAAAGATGCTGATGAGCTGGCACACCAAATAAGGGAGAGGAGGCAAATGAGCACTTGGCCAGGTGGTTGTGCTCATCTGGGAGGCGGTGATGGGCATAAGCCACGTCTGCTGCCTTCTCCTGTGCCACTGGTCCCAGCAGTGCTGTCAGTGCCTTCCTTGGGTGGCAATCTCGCCCCGGGTGCCTAGCAAAAAGGTCTGATGTGTGGCTGTTGGCATGGAAACCAGGGCTAGCTGTCCTGGGTTAGAGTGTCAGACTAGGATCTGGGGGACCCAGGTTCAAATCCTCACTCTGCCATGGAAGCTTGCTGGGTGATCTTGGGCCAGTCGTTCTCATTCTGACCTTCTTGCAGGGTTGTTGTTGTAAGGATAAAATGGAGGAAGGGAGAACGATGTCGAAAGCCACTTTGGGTCCTCACTGGGAAGAAATGCAGGGTATACATATCTAAATAAATAAATACCTGTGACCTGGTCAGTTAGCTCTGTTGACTTTTCCTCTTTCCAGCGATAGAGTGGACACCCATGCAGTCTCGGGCCACCGTCAGCACAGTGACAGGGTACGGCTACAGCATTGGTCAGTTCGTCCTAGCCGGCATGGCCTTCACCATCCGTGACTGGCGCTGGCTCCAGCTGGCCGTGTCCTTTCCGTATTTGGCTTTCTTCCTTTATGGCTGGTAGGTACTCTCGCCTGCTTCCTGCTGGGGCTTGACATGGCTTGGGAGCAGAGCGCCAGTGGAAGGTAGGAGTCTCTGCCCCCAGAGGCAGGGGTCATTTCCTGCAAGAGCGCACAGGAGCGGAGCTCCGGCAGTAAGGAGCCCAGGGGGTGGGCACATGCAACAAGCCCCGCCCCCTGCTCCCAGCAGCCCTCAGTTGGGCCACGAGGAGCAAGAAGCAGCCAGGTAAGTTGCAGAGCCCCCCCCCCCCGGCCTGCCTTCAGGTACAAGCTCTCCCTCCTCTGCAAGGACAGATCTGCACGTTCCCCCCCCCAATAGCTAGCAATCCAGAACAGTCCAGTGGAGCCTGAGCGGTGGGTGTTGCCTTCTGACACACTTCCGGCGATGTCAGGGGATGTGGCATATGCAAATAAGTTATGCTAATGAGCTCCTGCACCTCTTTTTCTATGAAATGACCCCTGCCCAGAGGGATTATAAAACCACATGAAATGGAGGAGGAGGTGGGGTGGGGACCAGGAAGAGCGCAAGTGTTGGCGGTTCATGCTAGCAAAAAGCTCTTTGGGGAGCTAATGAAGGAAATGGGGGACACTTTCAAAGCCCCAGGGAGCGGCCAGGTCGAAGAAACAGTGAGTGGAGTGGAAGAAGACAGAAGAGAGCAGCTAAGCAAGTGAGGTCGTATCAGGGCTGCCAGTCCTTGGTTCCTGCGGCTTCAGCAGCAGTTTTGATTTACATCAAAAGAAGTGATCACGTATAATGGAAAATCTGAAAACACTTTTTTAAAAAAAATATGTACACACACACAACAAATGCCAACAACAAAGGAAAACAGAACTAAACAAAACCATAAAATAACCTCATATTCAATATAAAAAAATGATACCATCATGTTATGGTGATGTTCCAATGCGAACCCGGGGGGGGGGGGGAGGACCAGGAAAAAGAAAATATATAAACCAGTAAGAGACAAAGAATGAATAGATAAGAAAGAGAAGAGAAAAGGGGAGTGTATGTGTGTAGGGGGGGGTGCTTCCATCCAAGGCGGCTGAGTCTTTACATATTTATCATTGATTCCATTTCTGAGAAACGTATCTTCTAATATAACTATTCAATGGCTTATTCAGCTTCTCAGGTAAGGCTCTCCATCCATTAAAGAAAATTCTTTAACAAGCTATAGTCTGGAAATTCCATTAAATAAATTATAAAACTGTTCCAAGTTATCTTAAAATCATCTTTCTTTTTTCTCCCCTGAATTAATCTAATCTTATTTGTTGTTGTTTTTCAAGTGCTGCTATAGTCCTTAATTTAGTGTGCCACATATCCAAGGAAATTTCTTTAGCATTCTTCCAACATTGAGCAATAAGCATTCAAGCTATGACTAAAAGAAAGTTGATAAGCATTTTTTGTTTACATTGGGTGTTTTCATTGATAAATAAATTAAGCAGGGCTAACTCAGGTGGCTCAAGTGGTTAAGACACTGAACTGCAGGCTGTGGAAGGTCAGTAGTTCAGCAGTTCGAGACCCGGGTGCCGCATGATGGAGTAAGCTCCCATCTCTAGTTCCAGCTCCTGCCAACCTAGCAGTTTGAAAGCAAGAAATTGCAAGTAGATAGGTACCACTTCGGTGGGAAGGTAACAGCGTTCCGTGCACCTTGGTGTTTAGTCATGCCGGCCACATGACCACAGAAACGTCTTCGGACAGTGCTGGCTCTTCGGCTTTGAAACGGAGTTGAGCACCACAACCCTAGAGTCGGACGCGACTGGCTTTCGAGCAAGGGAACCTTTACCTTTAACTCAGTAGTAGGTTTTATTTTGTTCCTGAGTTACTTTAGCACTCTCTGAAAATATTGCTTTCCAAAAATTTGCTATAACTGGACAAGACCACCACATGTGAATAAATGTCCCTAGTTCACCGCAATCTCTCCAACAATTTTTACTGTCTATTTTCATTAAGAGGGCTAGCCTAACTGGAGTAAAACACCACCTCTGAGACGCCTTTAAATGCATGCTCTTGTAAACCTTTTGAGATTGACTGATTTGCATCAAAGGAAGTGATCATATTTAACTGAAACTTTGGCAACACTTTCAGATGTGTGGATTTTTGCACATCAGACCTCTCTGTTCAAGGTGGCAAGCGATCAGTTGACAGCCCTAGCTAACATGGAGTGAAGAGAACAAGCAAGAGAGAAGGGGATGTCACCTTAATAGGGTTACCAACTCCAACTTGGGAAATTCCTGGAGATTTGGGGGTCTTGTCTGTGGAGGACAGAGTTTGGGAAGGGAGGTGTCCCCCCATAGATGCTTTTTCCTCCAGGGGAGCCAGTGTCTGTAGTCTGGAGATCGCAATGTTCCCTCTAAGCTGTGGAGTCTTGTGAGCAAAAATTCTACTTTGTGAGCTACTGGCATTAAAGTTGTGAGCAAGCAATTCAGCTACTTGTATAAATTAGTTTGCTCTGGAGCCGTCCTTCCTGAGCTAAGACAAAAACATGTGAGCCGGAGCCTACAAAACTGTGAGTTAGCTCACATTAACTCAGCTTAGAGGGAACACTGGTTGTCATTCCAGGAGAACACCAGGCTCCACCTGGAGGTTAGCAACCCTGCTTCTGTGCTTTTGCCTATGGTATTGACAAGCAGCAGCCCAACAGGCAAAGTTATCATCTCCTATTGCATTTCTGCCCTTTGTGCAACCATCCAAAGCACAGGGACCACTGCCTGGAAAAAGACAGGCAACCTAAACAGGGGTTAGGGCTTCTAGATTGGGATAGATGATCCATTGTCAACACAAGGTACTTTTATTCTGCACAGCAATGCAGTCAATGTCAGGGTGTTGATACTGGTCTTCCTCTGACCCCCCCTCCCCATTTCACACTACCCCTGATATTCTCTTGTGCAGGTGGTTCACAGAGTCAGCCCGGTGGTATGCCACTTCTGGCAAACTAGAACAGGCACGAAGAGAGCTGCAGAAAGTCGCACGGATAAACGGTCAAAGGGAACAAGGGGAGAAGCTCAGCTTAGAGGTAAGGCGGTAGGGTCATCACCTTCTATGCTGTTGAATGCTGGCAGGATGAAACTCAACAGGTTCAGCTCTCCCAGTCATACTCTCACCACCTCTCTGTGCTGTAAAGCTTCAGCACCTCCTGAATTTTTGCCTGCCAAAGGACCACAAAGCACACAAATCTGCCAGGGGGGGAAAGTAGTGGCAGCCCTAGGAGGAAGAGGAAGCAGAGAGGGAGCCGTAGGAAATCTTGTCAAATATTTTCAGAATTCTGTTCACTCCTTGCCAATCTGAATTCTGCAACCAGAATGCAATTTGAGGATTTTTATATTTTCCTCCCCTCTACAGTAATCCATATCCCACACTTCCTCCAAACAGCTCAGGTTGGCAGGTACTGCTCTCCCATCTTCCATGCTGTGCACACAACAACCCTGTCAGGTAGGTTAGAATGAGAGAGTGCAGCTGGCCCAAGGTCAAAACATGAGTTTTGTGGCTGAGAGGATTTGAACAAAGGATTTGATTTGCAACTGTGGTAAGGGAATCCAGATACTTTCCTAGCCTCTCAAGTTCCATGGGGCTGAGGCATGGTCATACACACGCAGCAGAATGAGGTGGGAGAATCCTGAGTTGGGGGCTGTATCATTGCAGGTGGGAGTATCACATACGCTCCCCCATGTTAAAATTTCCTGTGAATAAAAAATTAGCACATCAGAAAGAAATATTCTGTTTTAGCCACTTGCATGCTGTGCTAGTTTTTCACTCACCGGGAACTGTAAATATTGGGGAATTTCAAAAAATGTGCCCCCCCCCAAATAATGGTACCATCCGTTCCACCACCTCAGCACTCTGCAGGCTCATCACCACCTCATTCTGCCTCTGAACTGGCTTCCCACCCAGCTTAGGATCCTCAAGTTCATAAACATGTTCAAATGTCAAAACAGAATTTAAAATTCAAAAATATATCAAAAATATTTTAAACAGATAAAATCTATAGACACACAGACAGGGAAGAGGGCTAATAAAAGTTAGTGAGGGGACACCGAACAAAAAGAAGCCTTCACCCAGTGGTGGAAGACAATGGTAGAGGGAAACAGACGAATCTCCCTATAAACATATAATGTTTCTGCACCACAACCAAGAAGGTCCTTTCTTGGGTTGCCACCCATCTGGCCCCAGGTGGCAGAGGCATCTGAAGCAGGGCCCCTGAAGATAACTGGAGTGGTCAGGCGGGTTCCTATGGGAGTGGGAGGTCCTCAAGTTTAGGCCTCAAACATGAAATGAGTTGACTGCAACACACAGGTCAGGACATTCAGGTGATCTCCAGAGCCCCGTCTGTAGGGCCACAGTCTCCCCCCCACCCGACACCAACTTTTGGAAGAATTTGTTGCTAGTGTGAACGCATACAGTTCAAGAGTGCCCTGCCTTTTGGAAAAACCTGCTAGGTTCAAGGGTGGCTTGTCTCCTGCCTCTCTTTGCACATGTGCTGAAAGGAGCAGTAGACGAGGTCGATCAAGAGGATTCTTCCACGGCTCTGACCCTTGGCTTGTTCCTTCTTCCTACCAGTAGCACTGAGAGGTTGGAGACTGTTGCGCAATGCTGTGACGTGACTTCCAGGTCACACAGTGTCATTTGGAATACTGTGTGCAGTTCTGGTCACCACACCTTAAAAAGGATATTATAGCTTTGGAAAAAGTGCAGAAAAGGGCAGCTCGAATGATAAAAGGGTTGGAACACTTTTCCTATGAGGAAAGGTTAAAGCGCTTAGGGCTCTTTAGCTTGGAGAAAAGACGACTGAGGGGTGACATGATTGAGGTTTACAAGACTATGCATGGGAAAGAGCAGGTACAGAAAGAGGTACTTTTCTCCCTTTCTCACAATACAAGAACTCATGGGCACTCCATGAAATTGCTGAGCGGTCGGGTTAGAACGGATAAAAGGAAGTACTTCTTCACCCAAAGAGTGATTAACACTTGGAATTCACTGCCACAGGAAGTGGTGGCGGCTACAAGCATGGACATCTTCAAGAGGGAATTAGATAAGCATATGGAGCAGAGGTCCATCAGTGGCTATTAGCCACAAAGTATAGATAGGGGCTCTGGGGCAAGTGATGCTCTGTCTTCTTGGTGCTTGGGGTGCGGGGCCAACAGTGGGAGGGCTTCTAGTGTCCTGGCCCCACTGGTGGACCTCCTGATGGCACTGGTATGTCTGGCCACTGTGTGATACAGAGTGTTGGACTGGATGGGCCTTTGGCCTGATCCAACATTGGCGTCACTTATGTTCTTATGTTCAGTGTCATACAGTGCCAGTCCCCCTCCCGCTCTGGTGAGCAGCCTGGCAGCCCTCTTCTGCTATTTGCCTCCTGGTGATCAGTTTGTGTTTCTCATCCCTGGCTCTCTTGTTCTGTTGCCCGGGTCCTAGCCTTGCCACCAGTGAGGTTATAGCTCTGCCTCCAACTCTGATGTCCAGTGACTTCTTGCCATGTTTTTGCATGCGGGACTCCCAAGCTCAGTGGTTCCTGGGTCTGGAATGGTTGGAAAATCAGATATATCCAGAAACCTCATGTCTGCCTTACAGTTCCTAACAGCCAACCTGCAGAAGGAAGTGGCCTCTGCCAAATCAAGGTTTACTGCGGCTGACCTTGTGCGCACACCAGTCTTACGCCGACTAACCTGCTGCCTCTGCTTTGTATGGTAAGTATGAGTGGAAACAGGGTTGAGGGGCAAGAGAGGGAAAGAATGAAGAGGTCTACAAGCTGAAAATGTTCTGCTAGGTGAATCTGGGTAGAGTTCTTTTTGTGTCTGTTCCATGGCAGGATTGTCAATCGGCTGCATACACGCTCAGGCAAACAGATACAATTTTAGCATCTCGAATCCAGGCCCCTGCTTAGTTAGCACCATCAGTACTTCCAAAGGGTGACAAAGTCTATACGCAACACTGCAAGGATTACTTAGAAATGTATAGACTCTGACCATTGGTCTATAGTGACTGCTCTTGCAAAGTTCATCAGAGCGAACCAAAATGACACAAAACAGCATGCAAGCTTTGGCACTCACCAAAACTGGCTCAGTAGGAGAGCATCTGCTTGGTATGCAGAAGGTCCCAGGTTCAATCCCCAGCATCTCCAATTCAAGGATCAGGTAGTAGGTGATGGGAAAGACCTCCACCCGAGATCCTGGAGAGCTGCTCCCAGTCTGAGTAGACAATACTGACTTTGATGGACTGATGGTCTGATACAGTATAAGGCAGCTTCGTGTGTGTGTGTGTGTGTGTGTGTGTGTGTGTGTGATTGGGAGCTTGAAAGCTTGCAAAACGTTTTGTGTCCTTTTGGTGGGCCCGAATAAAAAGGCATTGCATGCATTTTGTTTTGGATTTAGCATGGGCCAATATGCCTAATTAAAACATTTTTCTATCTCATGGGCAGCCAGTCTCCAAGATCTCAGGCTGAGGAGGCTTTCCCAGTTATCCAAGCTGAGATTCCTTGTTCCTTATTCTTTCAAAATCCAACCCACATCTATGGAGCTGCTTTATACTGGCCAGGCCACTGAGTTCTCTAGTACAATAATGTCTACTCTGACCAGCGGCAGCTAACCAGGATGCCAGGGGTTGGACGCAGGACCTTCTGCAAGCAAAGCAGGGTTTCTGTGTCTGCTCTGTGGCCTCCCAGCACATATGTGTTCATAGCATTCTTATCCCACCTTTCCACATTAAACAAAGTCTTCGGGGTGGAATGCAACATTTATAATTTCAGGCTTTGCAAAAACTGTAAACATCAATAAGGCAACACAGCAAAAAAAACAACACTAAAGCCATTGGAACAATTATCTTTTCATTAGCAATAAAAACCATAACTACTGTTCAAAGCCTGGCTGAAACGTATGGATAACCTGGCATTTATGGTGCAAAGTAAAACTCTCTGGTTAGGGAGATTTCCAAAGCTTTGCCAGAATCTGCTGAAAAAGAGGAAAAGAGGTGGTTGTCTTCTGCTTAGCAATGAACCTAAGCCCTGAATGACCTCTCCCAAGGGTTCACGTCACTGTTGAACGAAAAACATATTAAGAGCTGCCCTATGGCTGCGAGAGTTGGACTATAAGGAAGGCCGAGCGCCGAAGAATAGATTCTTTTGAACTATGGTGCTGGAGAAGACTCTTGAGAGTCCCCTGGATAGCAAGGAGATCAAATCAGTCAATCCTAAAAGAAATCAACCCTGACTGTTCCCTGGAAGGCCAGATACTGAAGCTGAAGCTCAAATACTTTGGCCACCAAATGAGAAGGGAGCACTCACCGGAGAAGACCCTGATGCTGGGAAAGACTGAATGTCAAAGAAGACGGGGACGGCAAAGGATGAGATGGTTAGACAGTGTCATCGATGCAACGAACATGAAATTGAGCCAACTTCAGAGGACGGCGGAAGACAGGAGGGCCTGGCGGGAGCTGGTCCATGGGGTCGCAAAGAGTCGGACTCGACTGTGCGACTGAACAACAACAAATGATTGAGCATTGGTCCATTTTATCTCAGCGCTGTCTGTCCCAACGTTCCGTGTTGTCTCTCCTGGTTTTCAGACAGAGGTCTTGCCCCATACCACTGGACAGCGAGACTGGCAGCAGCTCTCCAGGGTGCTGGAGATACAAGCCTAGATTTCCAGTTGGCTGAAGATTTTCTGTCTAAACTGTGATCGGTTTTGCTTCATCCAATTCCTCTTGCAGGTTCTCCACCAGCTTTGCTTACTATGGGTTGGCCATGGACCTGCAGAACTTTGGGGTCAGCATATACCTCATCCAGGTCATCTTCGGGGCTGTCGACATCCCAGCGAAGCTCATCGCCTTCCTTGTGATTTGCTACTTTGGCCGCCGCATCACCCAGGCATTGGCTCTCATTCTCGCAGGGTTTTCCATTGTTGCCAATATCTTTGTTTCGGAAGGTAAGGCTCCGTGGCACCACTATACCTATTAGTGTTATGTTGGTTGCCTGCTATTCCAATTGTCTTGCCTTCTCCAGAGGGATTCTGGAATACAGGGAATTGTCTGCCAAGAGATCTCTAGACACAGCATACTACTATTCCCAGGGTTCCCTGGGGAAGAGAGGATTCCAAAGGTGTAGATATGTCCCTGAGCTTTATGACATAGATATTTAATTTTTCCCAGTGTTCAACCAAGAACACGTGAATAGATGAAAGGCGGGTCCCTGAGCAAGTACAGAGGCCATTTCTTTTACTACTGACTTACTATAGAGAGCCCACACATAGTAGGATTTCTAGATCAGAAGGTATGTTTCCAAATGGACGTACACCCCAGCTTTTCCTTCTCCAAAAACTGAATACTGCCTAAGAATTAAGATGATATCTGTTGCTCAGCCATTCTCCTGAATTTATTTACCTCAAGAGAAGAGTAGACTGCTTTGTCTTTCTTCTTATTCCACTGGATCTGAGGGAGGTTTGACGATAAGTATGTCCCCACAGGCCACTCTGTTTTTCTGGCAGGTCTCCTGCACTTTTAACAGGGACCTGACAAGCAGAAATTCCTCTCACAGGAAGAGTACTGAAAACCCCACCCTGTTACCAAACTAAACACTGCAACTGGCTAAATGAGCCAATAGAGGAGGAGGCTTTGGCCTTAAAATGGGTGGTGGGATCCCTCCCATATTTCCTGACTCTTCAAATACCTGAAGACCTGTCACATGGAAGAGGGCAAAGACCTATCCTGTGTTGGTCCAGAGGGCAAAACTAGATCTTATGGGAGGATGAATTTTGGTTGAAATGGAGAAATGTCCTAATGGTGAGAGGAGTTATACAGCAGAACCAATTACCTTGGGAGTGAGTGGGCTTTCCCTTGCTGTAAGTCTTCAAGGAGAGTTTGGTCAGCTATCAGCAGAGGATGGTGAAGCTTTAGATTACTGTGCAGTGGATTGGACTAGATGGCCTGTCAAGCCCCTTCCAGCTCTATGATTCTGTGAACCCCTTCAACTAAGTCCTATACCACACCATGTTGCAATGGATTTACTCTGTAGAAGACCACAACAGTTAGCTCTACCAAGTAAGCAATGGGCTGTTATGTTTCAGCCGAAGAGGCAGCGGTTGTGTTTGCCTTTGCACAGGGGTCTTTTCGTAGAAAAAGAGCTAGGGGAACTCATTAGCATAACTCATTAGTATATGCCACACCCCCTGACATCACCGGAAGTGTGTCATAAGGCCACACCCCCTGACATCACCGGAAGTGTGTCATAAGGCCACACACCCCGCCCCCAATGGTCCCGGCCGCCGGCGGCGGCCTTGCAGCTCCACTCATGTGAATAATCCTGTAAAACGGAAGGAGGAGGCCAGTGGGGAGATCAGTGGCATGGAACAGGGTTTGTTTGTTTGTTTTGGGTAGGGAGGGAATTATTGATAGAATTGATATTATCTTGAGGGGGAAATTTCCATCACAAAAAAAATCACTAGTTTTGACAGGGGAGAATATTCAGTGGGGACCTAATAATTGAAAGTCATTACTGTGTGTATTGCAGTCACTGGCAGTCTTCAAGCAACTGCTGCACGAACTTGTCAGGGATGCTCTAGGCCAGTGATGGCGAACCTTTTAGAGACCGAGTGCCCAAACTGCGACCCAAAACCCACTTATTTATCGCAAAATGCCAACACGGCAATTTAACCTGAATACTGAGGTTTTACTTTAGAAAAAACAACTCATACATTAACTTAAGATGATCCAAACAAAGTAAGGAAAGCAATCCCAAATGCTTTCATTTACTTAAAATTATTTGGCAGAGAATTCGACACTTTAATGATGGCCTGGGCCTGGCTGGGGCGATGGCACGCGTGCCCACAGAGAGGGCTCTGAGTGCCACCCCTGGCACCCGTGCCATAGGTTCGCCACCACTGCTCTAGGCTGATCCTGTGGGAACTCATTAGCATAACTCATTAGCATATGCCACACTGCCTGACATCACCGGAAGTGTGTCATAAGGCCACACCCCCTGACATCACCGGAACTCATTAGCATAACTCATTAGCATATGCCACACACCCTGACATCACCGGAAGTGTGTCATAAGGCCACACACCCCGCCCCCAATGGTCCCGGCCGCCGGTGGCGGCCTTGCAGCTCCACTGCCGAGCCCCATGAGGGGCCCGGCAGTGGACCTGCAAGGGCGGCGGGAGTGCAAGGAAGCCCCGTGAAGGCCCTCCCTGGCCCCAGGCAGGCAGGGGTGGGGAGAGGCAGGGAGGAAGCAACTTACCCTCCCTCTTCTCCTGCCTCCTCCTGGCTGAATGAAGGCCGGAAGCGGGGCGGCCGGAAGCAGGGGGCGGGGCTTTGTCATGTGCCCGCCCCCCGTACCTCACCCAGGGGAACTGCGATCCCCCGCGATCCCCCCCCAAATGACCTCTGCCTTTGCATGAGAAAGAGGAGGAGCTAATACTAGGAACACTAGGAAAAGCTGCAAGTCAGAGGCTCAGAGTCAACAGCCCATTGCCCACTTCATGGAGCTGATGATGTGGTGTTGATGGTGGGGATTTATCTGGCTATTTTCAAGGGCAGGCAGCACCTGGAGGGATCACATGCAGGTACTCCTTCCTGAATGCCAGTTTGTTTCTGCTGCTGTTTTTAAACTAACCAAACCAAGAAATGGTGATGTCATTACTTGAATTTTTCCACCCTCCTCCCTTACAATACATCTTAGCCCTCAACTAGCCTGTCTGTTCATAGTATTGGTACCATTATTGGTTTTCAGGCATTTATAAAATTCTTCTGGGATTATCAGCATTCATGTTTACCAATGTTTAGGATTAATTGCTTGTCTGTGATCTGCAAACCACACCTACTGCCACTGGCTGAACAGCACTGAGGCTGTGGAATGTTCACAAGCATTCCGACTGCTCTGAAAAGGAGCATTCAGTAACTCTGCAGCTTCTGCGAAAAGGCCAATTTGGCTGGGTGGGATAAAACCCCACCCAAGACCAGAATGGTGAGGGCAGGAAGTTTATGCTGGGCAAAATGGAACAAAAAGGTAGTTAATAGTACCAAGGCCAATATTGTAGCTATAATTTAGGGAGAAATCTCTGAAGTATATTTTCCCCAACTTAAATTTACTTGCAAAATATTAAATTTATCTTTTCCTCAGATATGCAGATCCTGCGAACGATCTTTGCTGTTTTGGGGAAAGGCTGCCTGGCAGCATCTTTCAACTGTGTCTTCCTATACACTGGAGAACTTTACCCTACAGTGATCAGGTAACTCTCAGTTTTGGACTTAACCAGAAGCCCTTACCTGTGGGCTGTTTTACATGGGCTGTTGCCACATAGGGACTTTTCAACCCCATATGGAAAACAGGAAGCCCCTGCATGAAAGGGAAATGTTCACATGACATTGTGCTCATTCTGAGCATGGTTTGTGACATTCCTGCAGCTTTCCTGTTTAAGCTGGAGGAAAAGACAAATCCATTTTAATCTGGCTCACAGGGGAATCTGTGGAGTGGCTGCAAGGGAGTTTCCATGTGGATACTTCCTCTGTCACCACTATAGGGAAGGCAGATGAGAGCTGAGATCCACTTTCAAAATGGTGCACAGGGCAACTCACTGCCACATGACTCCACCCACCCACACACACACTTAAAAGGGCTTTCCTTGCTGGTCTGGTATGTCGCTGGGTTACAGCATGGCTAGGCAGGGAAAGGACAGTGAGGGGAAAGGGGAAGTTTTCGGACTGAGGGGGTGTCCTGGTACAATCACTGTTGTGCCTGTCCTTTTGTGTACATGTCATGGCAGAAAGGGGAGGAGTGGTAGCGGGCAGCACAGGAAAGGGGAGGTGTGGACACCATTCCTGCCTGTTCCCATGCTACTTGCTGCTGCATGGTGGAGAAAGAAAAAGAGAAGGAGAAGGTCTGGTTTATTATAACCTGCTTTTCTGGCCCAAGTTTAGTGGTTAAGAGCAGTGGACTCTAACCTGGAAAACCGGGTGTGATTCCCCAGTCTTCCACAGGAAGCCTGTTGGGTGACCTTGGGCCAGTCACAGTTCTCTCAGAACTCTCTGAGCCCCACCTACCTCACAAGGCGCCCGTTGTGGGTAGGGGAAGGGAATGTGATTGTAAGCCACTTTGAGACTCCTTAAGGTAAAGAAAAGCAGGGTATAAAAACCAACTCTTCTGCTGCCGCCACCACTGTAGTGTAGGTGCATGTTCATGCCTCAGGGCCCCTGTGATAGAAGTAGCCTTAGTCACTTACCTTGGGATAAAGTCAGAGCCCAGCAGGAGTTCTGTGATTGGCTGTACTTTAGGTCTGCCAACTCTGGGTTGGGAAATTGATTGAGATTTGGTAGCAGAGCCTGGGGGAGGTGGGGTTTGGGGAGGGGAAAGACCTCAGTGGGGTATAATACCATATAGTCCACCATCCAAAGCAGCCATTTTCTCCAGGGGAACTGATTTCCACGGTCTGGAGGTCAGTTGTAATTCTGAGAGATCTCTGGGTCTCATCTGGAAGTTGGCAACCCTACTGTACTTGGTACTAAATAGAGCCCTTGAGTTAAGAAGCCAGAACTGCCACAGGCCAGAAAGGGGAAAAAAACCCACAAGAGGCCAGGCTCCCATTATTTATATCCTAAATGGCCAACTCAGAAACTTCATCCTGCCTGCCTGTCAAGTCCAGGGGTCAAGGCTGTACTTCCTTAATGCACCAATGAACTGAGCGCAAACATTTCTGTGCTAGGCCCCTGTCTCAGGCCCACAGTTCCAGGTTTAAGCCCCGGTCAGCCTTTCACAGATAACCTCTGCTCTTGCTTCAGCCTCTAATTTACTGATCCAGAAGCTGCAGTAAATCAAAAGAGTCAGCAATTCCTCACAAAATCTGGACCTCCCCTCTTTTGTCCTGATAAAACTTGATCCTGTAAAGTCACAGGTCACATTTGACATAAGTATCAGAAGTACGTTGGTTTCTGGATGGGCAGATGCACCCGGGCTTAATTTCCCCTGCTTAGAACAAGTTTCCTTTGATAAATCTTCCTGATTATGATTTCTAATGTTAACCATGAAACGTGTGAAGACACTTAAAAGACCAGAGTACTCCTTAGAACCATTCACCACTGTGTAATCTCAGCCAGCGCAAACACATCTGAGAGGAGTTTGTCAGCCTTTTAGGGCACAATGTCCTGCCCCCCCTCAGGCGCCTCTTTTTCTTTTTCCTTGTATGGCAGGCAGACTGGGATGGGCTTTGGCAACACCATGGCACGTATTGGCGGGATTGTGGCTCCCTTGGTGCGGATGACCAGCGAATATTCCCCCTCCCTTCCCCTTGTCATCTATGGGGCAGCCCCCATCGTCTCTGGCATTGCTGCCTGCTTCCTCCCTGAGACTCTGAATGTGCCGCTACCTGATACCATTGAAGACGTGGAGAGCCAGTAAGTACAGGAATTCAATGCTGCCTTTAAACGTTTAGTAAAAAAAAAACCCAAAATAACGAAGGGATTGGCTGTCGGAAGTTTATACCCTGAAAATCCTGTTGATCTCGAAGGTGCTCCTGGACTCCAGTCTAGCTCTTCTGCAGACCAACAGTGCTGCTGCCCTCTGGAATTATTTTGTCAAGAGGATGGTATTAACCCCACAGCTGGTATCATGCGGCTGGGTAGGACTGGGCATGTGAGGGGCTGCAGCTTCCAGCTCTGGATGGGGTCCAGCTCTCATTAGGGGACTCTGTGAAGAGTCTGGGGGTCTGGGCTGGATGCCTCTCTTATCTTGGACAAACAGGTGTCCACAGTTGCTATCAGGGTCGCCACTCCCCCAATGGGGGCAGGGTTCCCCCGCTTTCAGAGGGCCCAATCCACCGATGGCCAGCTGGCTTGGCGGGGGGAGCCCCACCCATGAAGAGCTTCATCACGCCCAACATGTCCAGCACGATACCAGACGATCCTGGGACCAAGCAGGAGCCCCCGCCCAAGCAGCTAGGTAAGGCCTGGCAACCCTAGTAGCAAGGCAGGCTCTTTTCTATCTACACCGGGCCCGTCAGCTGCCCCCCTATTTGTCTCGATCATGCTCTACCCACAATGATTCATGCCACGGTCACCTCCAAAATTTGTTGTTGTTGTTGTTGTTGGCCATTCAGTTTGCTCTCCACAGGGCTGCCCTTGAAAGCTCGTCGGAGACTTCAGGTTGTCCAAAATGCAGCTGCCAGGCTTCTGACCAGAACACCTTGATCTTCATGTATACAGCCTGTCTTAAAGCAGCTGCATTGGCTGCCTATTGGTTGGTTTCTGGTCCAAATTCAGGGTACTGTTTATGACCTTTAAAGCCCTAAATAGTGTGGAACCATCATAACTGAAGGACCACCTCTCCCTTTACAACTCCCCTCAGCTGCAGTCATTATCTCACGGCCTACTGGTGGTGCTGGGCCTTCGGGTCGCACATTTGGCATCTACCAGGGTGAGAGCTTTTTAAGTCATAGTGGAATGCCCTCTCAGACAAGACCCAAGCCCTGTGGGACCTCCCTAGATTCCGCAGGGCCTGTAAGGCTGAGTGTGTGCCCATCAGGCCTTTCTCGGTGAAGCCTGTTTCTGGGGCTTAAAGTAGGTTTGCCATTCCCCCGGGGGGGTGGGGCGTTGCCCGCTTTAGGGGGCCCCAATCTGCTGGCCTGGATCTGGCCGGCGGGGGAACCCCACCCCCAAAGTGCCGGGAATGACGTTGTGTCGGGCACATTGCCATGGGGGATGCTCTAGAACTCGGCCTAAACTCTATGGTATCATAGAGTTTTTGCCTGAATGCTAGAGCATCCCCCTGGCAACATGCCTAGTGTGATGACGTCCCTTTCGGGTGACGTCATCGCTATGTGCGGGTGCCAGAAGAACCTGAAAAGGAAGCTCCACCCCCCACACACCAGCAGGTAGGGACTTGGCAACCCTAGCTTAAAGATGGATCCACCATTATCAGTAGGGCTGCCAAGTGGGGGCGGGTGGCGGGTAAACCCCCGATTTCCGCCGCCGCGGAATCGGGCCCCGGGGGGAACCCCACCCCTCGAAGCGCAATGTGGCTGCGTCACCAGAGGTGACACAACCACGTAGAGCACTTTGGGGGCGTGGCCCCGATCAACAGAGGGAAAACTCTATGGTTTTCCCTCTGCCGATCGGGGCCCCGCCCCCAACGTGCTCTACATCGTGCGTCACTTTCCGTGATGTGCAGGCGGCGCGCGCGCACGTCCTGCAGCAACTCCCGGAGCCCAGGGACAGTCCCCTGCCGGTGAGTATAAACGACTTGGCAACCCTAATTATCAGTTGTGAGTTGTTTGCTTTTATATCCTTCATATTTTTATACTATTTTAACTATATTGTTTGTTTTTTATTGTTATGAACCACTCCCAGGGGTGGTATATGAACTGGAATAATTAACAAATAAATGTCACAAAATCCTACAACATCTGTTGGGTTACATATTAAAATCACTCAAAGAACTATTCAGGAAAACAATTAACAGATGTAGAGAGCATACAGATCATTTTTGTGCAGCAAGGGGAGGGGCCACAGCCAGGGGTCATTTCATAGAAAAAGAGGTGCAGGAGCTCATTAGCATAATTCATTAGCATAACTTATTTGCATATGCCACACCCCCTGACATCACTGGAAGTGTGTCAGAAGGCAACACCCACCGCTTAGGCTCCACTGGACTCTTTTGGATTGCTAGCTATTGGGGGGGG